GTCTATGGGAGACGGAGGAGGACTGGCTGGTCCGGTGACCCAGCCGCAATCCGGGCCTCCTCGTGAACTCCGCCCCCTCTGCAGGATGGGGTGGGAAGGGAAGGGAAGGGGAAGGGAAAAGGCCTATTTGATCGGGCAAAGCTTGTCCAGCAGCTCTTGATTCCCGACACGCTAGCTAGCTTGGCAGCAGCAGCTGAAGAAGCAGTGCTATCACTGCCAGCAATCATTCTATCAATCCCTCACCCTCAAACCCCACTTGCGAATTCGTCTCTACCCATCCTTCTCCTCGTCCTCGATCCCCTCATCATGTCGTTCATGATTTGCCCCTTTTTTTTGTCTACAACGCAATCGCCGCGTCGAATGATCCATCATCGTGCATTGTGGGTAGTCCAGCTTGCAGGGAAGTGAGTGAGTGAGTGAGTGAGTGAGTGAGTGGGTTAAGGCTTCCTTACTTCCAGTGCTGCGAGTAGAAAGAAAGATCACGAGGTTGGGGTGGTGAAGCGGGGCAAGATCATGACTTTGTTTGTGTTGGCTGAGACAGCTAGACTTGGTGTGTGTGTGCGAGGACCACGATTGTCGTGGTTTGATGGTTTTTAGAGGAGGGTGTCAGTGCTGGTGATGATGGACGGTGATCACGACGCGCCCCACCACTATTTTGCTGACTTGCGGAGAGGCTGGCGCTTTTGGTAACGTGGCTGTGAGTGAGAGAGCATGGTTGCGGCTGATCTGGCTTTGCGGGGTCTGTGTCGTTGGCCCGCCGTGGACAGTTGTTGGGACCGCGCGTAGCTCAGGAGTCTTGGACGATGGTTTGACAGGACATGGGTGGAAGTTGTGTTGTTGTTGTTGTTGTTTTTTTTTTTTTTTTCTTCTTCTTTTTTTTTTTTTTTTGTGTGTTTGTTAGCTGAAGGTGGGAGGAGTTGACGAGATAAGAACTTCGCGTCTACCGTCTTCCTCTTACTTAGTTGTGAGCTTGGAACTAATCTCCTGGTCAGCGTGAATGCTCAGTTTCTGTCGAGGACTGGTGGATTAATGCGCTAGAAAGCTTGTTACGTGAATTGGCCCCATGTTTTTAGAGTTTGGTAAGAGTTTGGTCTCACTTGGTAGTTGATTGGCAGCACTTCTCAGTATCACGTCCGCAGTGTTAGCATAGGATTTGAAATTGACGAGACTAATTTCGTAATTGTCTTCAGAGACCCATTCGTAGTTACTTGTATCCAGTGCTTTAGTTCAATATTCGTCTCCAGTGAGCTTGTGCCTCGTCTCTGTCGAAATGATGGTGACCGAGCTTCACGACCCAGGCGACCTGGACTTCGCCGAGATCGATATAATTCTGGCGCAGGCCAAGCTCCGACTTCAAAGGGATCGGTGCCGAGACCGCAAGCTGCGGCGCCATATGAACCTGTCCGATATCCCTGAGAATTTTGCTCACGTGCCTCCGTGCACGTTCAGCGAATGCAGCTCGCTCGCCAGCACGCGCTCCGTGTCGCTTGACACCTCGCAGCCGGACTTCGCAAGCCGAGATGTCAGAAGCAAAAGGCGGCCGCCCAAACCACACCAGAAGTTCCAAATCTTGAGCCTAATTGCACCCATGAAGTGGCTCCGGGGATACATGGGCTGCGTCATGGCGGGCGCGCAGGATGCATACTGCGATGCGGAAGGATCAGCTGAAAGCCGCAATGTGATGACCAAAGCAGAATATATCTTCCCCCCGCCCCAGTACTCTTCTCGGTAGGAAGCAGGATTAACCCTCTAATCCCTTGCTACTCTTCGGCTTCTCATTTCCACAGATATCGCCATGGTTTAGATTGCAAAGATATATTGAGTGCAGCACTCTTGCGTCCCATTTGTTCCTGCGTCCGAATGAACTCAAAGCGGCTGAAGCTCAACCTTCTTTCCGCCTCGTTCAAGCGATTACGATCGTTCATCTCTGTCGGAACCACCACAGAACTCGGTTGCCATTCCTTTCAGCGCGGTTGTGAAGCAGCCTAGTCACAGCGACACATTGAACAAATTCGTGAAGCAATTTTGTCGGCGACGAGCTACTTCTGCAAGATGGTAGTTCTTGTATAGTACCCACCTTTGTTTCCCAAGTTGTGTGATGACTTAACGATTTCAATGGTTGTGCTGTGCGCATTCAACAGCCAACCTTCATGTCAACTCTTTCACTGGCTTTCCACAACCAGCTTGGTCTGACCAATATCATGTAAATCAGACTCACATGCTGATTCGTGATCTTATTCCTGTCTTCACCTCGCCGTAACGAAACTCATCTTCCAAACGTTAGCATCCATGTCCACATTCCACACTCTTTCAGATTACCAAATGCCAACAATCTAACTGCCTCAGAATTTGAATTTTGCTTGTGACGGAGGTGAAAAGGAAAGTGGAACACGTACGCAATATCTCGCACACAGTTTTCTCCCAGTGCTGACGCCGCTTACCTACTCATCAATCTGCTACCAACTACCGTTACCAGTGCGCCGACACGATGCCATGCGATCTTAAAAGCGACTTGCCATAATCGACCACCATCAAAGCTTGGGGAAAAGGGACAAAAACGGTGCGCGGTGGGTCTAGTGTAGGATTCGGATTTGTTGCAACCACATGAGGCGTTAGATCCAGGTGAAGAAAGAAGTTCGCCGCTGCACATGGGAGGTGCCATAAATATTTCCCCTTCTCTGTAGCCGACGCCATGAGACAAACTTGCGATGCCAAGGCACTGCTACTCGCCGATAGCTCCCAGATGGCTGTTCAGATACACTGCTGCCTACACACTCATCCTTTTGAGAAGCCCACCTTGGTTCAAGGCGAGAGTTTTGGTTCCTTAGATGATGCAATTTGACCACATTTATATCTATTTATATTTGTGTTCAAGTGGGCGATGACCGTGAGCTTCACGCTTTCGTCGATACTTTCGATGATGATAATGATGAGTTGGGTTAGCGAATTCCTTGCAACTTCGCAAACTCTGACATTTGTGTTCAAATCTATTGTTTTGGTTTAAAAGCGACAAGTGCACAAGGAGTGGTTTCCACGAAAGTGTGTGATGTATGGGTTAGGGACGTGGAGTTTTTTTTTTTTTTTTTTTTTTTTTTTTTTAATTAGGAGGTGGGATAATAGTTTATGAGGAAGAAATGTGGGGCATTTTTGTGGATTAGTGAGATTGTTGTTCATGTTTGATGGTATCATGTTCCATTTTGAGGTATAAAGTAAAAAGAAAGCTATTGGCATGGCAAAGTAAAGTAAAAATCACTTTTTGTACCTAAGTATGTATTGTATTGAAAGTATGTATTGATACCTAAGTTTGCTTTTTAAGACTATATACATGAATTTTTATTAGTTGTTTATTTCTAAAAACTATTTCTTTTGTCTTTTCTTGGGTGTTAGATTTTATCATTACTTCTTATTATTGATAATAAGATTGTAGAAAATAGTATTAATGATAATCATGTTTTTGAAGTTCCAAAGCTCAAGAGATATCCCATTAGAGCTGATATTTTTAATAAAGATGTTTAATAAGTTGTAGTTTTTTAGGTATCTAATATAAGTTTGAATTAAACTATGAAGATATGCATTAAAGTAGCAAATACGAACATACATGTATACAAAATTACATACAGAAGCACACTCAAGTGCTATTACATATCATTGCAATCCTGCACATGATTGTATTACACAATGTTTATTATTTTTATAATTTAAGTTCATTTGTGATATATTTCTATTATGTGAATATTTTGAAATATTGAGTTGATTCTTCTATTATTTAAATCTCTTCTTTATTTTGCTTCTAACTATATCACACAATAAATATTAGATGCAAAAAGGTTTTTTTTACATACTATTAAAATTCTCAAATATGACTACATTAAATTTTTGGACAATGCTATTTTTGTATAAATCCACTCTTCTAACCAATAATGTAATACCAGCATTATCGTCCAAATATTACTTATTTTTAAATATAAAATACTTTAATTTTTTTGACATTTATAAAATATTACTATTATCTTGGATTGTGATATAATAAATATATATACACTATTAATATAAAATAGTTAAAATAGTTAAAAATAGAGTGTATCTTCTTCCACCAAAGATAATCTTGTAAAATTAATATGACTACAAGATCACCTTCTTCTACACAATTTCTATTCATGTTTGTTCACATCCTTTTTCATCTTGGATATTTAAGCTCAACAAATTCTAAGCAGCTTACCCTTCGGATTCCTTTTCTCACACATCTATGTTCTCCTGTACTTGCAGTTTCCAAAATATCCAATTCAATGATTTTAATTCTTGCTGAAATTTCATGCAACTATTGCCCTCATAAATGATGGTTTTTATCATGTCCCAGGATTACCACTTAATCATACATTATCTCATTTCATAACACAAACCAAAGGTCAGATTGGGTGTTGCTCATATAAACAGCAACGAGCATGCAAGAACAACCTGTGCCATAGCAAGTCTCTGTTCTATTGTTTGCCAATCCCTTTGTTGATTTGATTTGATTTTATTTTATTACTGAAGTTGTTTGTCCATATGCACAAAGTCATGAATATCAATATGTGAAAATATTTGAAAATATCCCATGTAGTCACTTTTTCATATGTGTTATTCATTGATAGCATAATAACTCTCAAAAACCAATCTCATAAACATTCAAACCATAAAAAGTATGAAAGATGCAACCTCATTCCATGTTAGATCACAATGAATCTCAAATATATATATATATATATATATAGTGAATTTATTTTTGGTGACTAATTAATGTTCTTTGTCATGGAGGAAACATAACCAACGACACCTTTCTGACAATTGCATCTGAAATTGGTACCCAACTCGAGCACTTCACATGTACTCAACTAGGCCAGAACCAGGGAACGGAATCAGGCGACAATTCCCATGACCGTGATCCACGGTATTGAGTGACCACGGTCGTAGGCAGGTGCGGCGCAATATTACGCAGAGAGGGGAGAGGTGCCGATGGCTTTTCTCGCAGGCAGGTGGCCTCGGGACGACGGCGATCGCATCGCAGTCAGGGAGAGAGCCTTATTTCCTGGCTTCTTCGATCACTAGATCTGTCCATTCTCTTACAAAACTTAACCTGGAAGTGTTTGTGTTAGATTGCGCAGCTATAACTAGCTAAAATTTGCACTAATCCATATCGGGAGCAGCCTATAGAGGGATTATTGGTCTGTAGTGGAGTGGACTGGAGTGGACATGTAACCCTAAGGGGGGGAATTAGAGGAAGCGGGGGAGGTGGTGAGGAGGAGGAGGAGGTGGAGTGGTTAGTGTCATAGAGAAATGGGAAAAATGAGGTTTAATTCCGAATTTACTCGAGTATCGGCGATATTTGTGTTGATGAGTTTGTTGTGGAGAGAGTCGGGGTGTTTGATGGAATTTGAGAACCCTAGGAGCGGCAGCAGGGGATCGACAGGGGTTAGGATTGAGTCGGAGCGTGGATCCGCGCTCGTGCTTCCCCTTACGAGATCGAAAAAAAATGATATTGTGGATCGTCGGTTTGAGCGGCGGGGACGAAAGCTCGAAGAGAGCGCGCGTATGACACTCCACGACGATCTGCTCACGAAAGGGTGCGAATGATGTGCTACATTTTGTTAATTGTTAAGAACTGCAGATGAATTGCTTGGTTTATTTGGCAAAGGTGCTGGATTTCTCGATTTGAGCTGTGGTGTTATGGAAGATCTGTTCTTGCATCCAAATTTGAAATATTATTGTGGGCAGATTTGGTGCTAGATTCGTCGCGAATTTTCAGTCCAGTTGTCAGCTAGTGTCACGCTGCCAATCTAGATACAGCATGAGCTTTGAATTCCATCCTTGTTTGAGGGCTGATTCCTCTTGCGATACATGGAGTTTTGTTAAGGGCCTCGCTTAATTCTTATTCCTCTATAATCAACTACTGCTTCGAGAAATGAATGTGACGGAATCCTTGTCTGGTTTCTCAAGCGCTTTGAATATTTTCAGCTTTTGTTAAGTGGTTCTCTGCATTGGTGAAAACTCCACGTAATGTGGTCAGAAGCGAGTCTAAAAGCGAGTTTGATGTCTGGTTTAAACTTCAATGTTAACTGTCAAATTATTAATCATCAGTTATTGGTAGAAGGCGTTAAGGATCTCCGTTTGGGGCACCCTTCGTTTATAGTCAATTTCGAGAGACTGGCTGACCACAGAAGTATTGTATGTTGATCAATCTTCTCCTGCATTACGTCAGGTCAAGACCTCATCAGTTATGTCGAGAATGCTTTAGGTTTGATGAAGCTGCTAATCAACGCATAAGCTTGGAATGCAGATATTATACGAGCAGGGTTTTTATTGGAACACCGCCGAATGAATTCGCACTTATAGTGGATACAGGGAGCACCGTTACGTATGTTCCCTGCTCCTCCTGCACCCATTGTGGCCACCACCAGGCAAGTTTCAGTACTCACCGTTTGTTCTGCAGGGTAGTTTCTGCTTTTATGCAAGAAATTTGCAGAACTTGAGCTCACTAATTAGTTATATGGTTAATCGATGAGTACCCCTAATCTTTCAAAGTTCGTCGCCTAGGTGCAATTGGCTCAGAATAAAATGGTCGTGTAATTTAAGACTTAAACCAGATGCATGATATGGTGGCATTTTGTATGATAACTTACCTATGGATGGACTATTTAAATAACACGATTGTGGACCGTGCTTGTTGTATGTGGCGCAGGATCCTCGATTTAAACCCGAAAATTCAAGCTCTTATCAGAAAATCGGTTGTAGGTCTTCAGATTGCATTACAGGGTTGTGTGATTCTAATAGCCACCAATGCAAATACGAGAGAATGTATGCGGAAATGAGTACCAGCAAAGGAGTACTCGGGAAAGACCTGCTAGACTTTGGCCCAGCTAGTCGGCTGCAATCTCAGCTTCTTTCGTTTGGCTGTGAAACTGCGGAATCTGGAGATCTTTATCTACAAGTTGCGGATGGCATTATGGGGTTGGGACGTGGTCCGCTCAGTATTGTTGATCAGCTCGTAGGAAATGGAGCAATCGAAGATTCTTTTTCACTTTGTTATGGTGGCATGGATGAGGGTGGGGGTTCTATGGTGTTGGGAGCAATTCCGGCCCCTTCAGGCATGGTATTTGCAAAATCCGATCCACGTCGCAGGTAGGACTTATTCTAGCTTTCTCTTGGATTATATCATGTCAGAGATTATTATTATTCGAGCATAAGAACACGTGTATGTTTCTGTCTTGGGATGGATAGAAAAGAAAAAGACAAGAAAAAAATGTTGTGGCTGACTCAAATGGTTTGGATGCAGCAATTACTATAACCTTGAATTAACTGAGATTCAGGTGCAAGGAGCAAGCTTAAAGCTAGATAGTAATGTTTTTAACGGAAAGTTTGGCACAATTTTAGACAGTGGAACTACATACGCTTATCTTCCAGATCGAGCTTTCGAAGCTTTTACAGATGCTGTGAGTGAACCAGCCTTCCTAATTTTCTTTTGTGTAGCTTGCTGTTCTACTTTGTAAAAAACAAAAATGTATGTATATATATTTTCTATCTTGCTCGTAAGAAATTCACAGTTTAGTTGAAATTTGCCTTTAGAATATACTATCATTTTTAGTATAATTAACGTTATTTAAAATTTTAAATTGGTGGTTGAGAGCTCAGGTTGTTGCACAGCTTGGTTCGTTGCAAGCTGTCGATGGTCCTGATCCAAATTATCCTGATATCTGCTACGCAGGCGCAGGAACGTGAGTTTCCCAGTATTCCTCTGCAACAAGCGCATTTTTTTTGTCCCATGTTGGGACTAGTTTGGATATGTATGGCTTTGAATGCATCCATTTTTTGAAATGTTGTGAGTATGTAATTTCCTGGATGTGTAATCCACTCATTGTACTACCTCTCAGGCACCAACATTTATTGTTCTCATTGATTATTAATCTAAGTTTTGATTGTACGTAACTAAGTACCTATGAAGCGAGAATATGCACCTACTATCTGCAATTTCGAAATGTGTACTGATTGTTTGAGTGTGCTTCCAACAGTGACACAAAGGAGCTGGGCAAGCATTTCCCTCTTGTAGACTTCGTCTTTGCAGAAAATCAAAAAGTTTCTTTGGCGCCAGAAAATTATTTATTCAAGGTTGGTCATCCAACCTTACAGTTAATGTTACAAGTCAATTCCTTCCTGTTCGCTTTCATTCGAGTTTGAAGGTCTTTAAAGTTCGAAAGTAGAAAGTTCTACAATACTCAATCTTATGTACATAATACGTTACCTCTATTCCATAGCTGTAAGTGCGTGCTTTTTGATTCTTATGCTTTTCTGGAATTCCAAATTCTTCTCACCACATAATAAGGGCAGTTGATAAAGGGAATAAAATGATCCAGTTTTCATTAGCTCCTTCTGATCAACTTGTTAGGCATTTAGGTTTTGTGGTTGTCTCTTACACTGTTTAGCCCATTTCGTCTATTTCTATTCATGCAATTTGTGCTTCAACTAGTTTTGTCTTTCTTTGATCGTATGTCATCTCTAGGATCAAATATTCACCTCTCATTGTTCGTTACATTCTCGTAAATCTTTAAATTTGGCAAGATCACTGTCTCCTTACGTATCTCTCTGATCACAGCATACAAAAGTGCCAGGCGCATATTGTTTGGGTTTCTTCAAGAACCAAGATGCAACCACGCTGCTTGGAGGTAATATTTTTGGTTGTGCACACATTATACCAATGCTTGACGATTGGATGATGTTTCTAATTTATGTGGGACTCCATCGGTTTGAGATATTGCACCAATAGAGATAGCCTTGGAAGTTAAGCACAAAAATGATGATGGCAATGGTCAAAAGTCCTGTTAACTTCAGCATGTTGCTTGAATTTTTTCAGGAATTATTGTTCGAAACATGCTGGTTACTTACGATAGATACAATCATCAAATTGGTTTCCTGAAGACGAATTGCACGGAATTGTGGAGCATTTTGCCTGCTGAAGCCCCATTAACAGCACCAGCTGTCTCCCCATCTGTACCCCCGGCAAATGAAGAAAGTCCTCCAGTAGAACCACCTTCAGCATTACCTTCACCTTCTGTGAATGCCCCTCCTCCGCTCTCAACAGAATCACCGGCACCTGTATCGCAGGGTATGTGCTTTAACATGAAAGAGTTTTCTTTGATGGCTCGATTGTATACCATTGATACAATTTTTCTAGATTTTAGATGAGTGTGTATATCTTAACTATCATGAACCATGAATACTGTAAGGATGAGTGCTATAACAGTGAGTCAACCTATTTTTCTCTTGCCAAGACCAGAAACATTCAGGTTTTATAGATTTGCAGTCTTGAAGAAATCGTAATTGTTACACTGACGTTTGAGTTATCTTAGAACAAAACGTGATGGAGCTGAAGAGAATATACCATCTAAACGCATTTTTTATATTTCATGCTGATTGCTTGTCTTAGTATCAGTCGGTGATTTATCTATCTCCATGACTAGTAACAACGAGTAGCCCACTATTAGATTTCCACACTGCTGTTGTTTTCCCTCATTTCATTAGAATCAACTTCAGATTCATGTTACTCACCAAATATCATTGTTTCTTTACAGCCGAAATTTTTTTTGATAGAATTCAACTTATAATTGTATTAGATACAAATAAAACTATTATTTGTGAACAAATGGGCGTATTTCTTTCAAGCATTGCTTCGGAGCTTAATGTTTCCGAGTCACAGGTTAGAACTTGAAAATCTCTGTTCTTACTGTTGCAGCTCTACTGTTTTGGGTTCAGAAGCTGAGGTTGTTGGTTTTTTGGGCTGGGTATAAGGGTTAACATAATCCTCCTTTGTCATCCTCTTCATGGAAGTGATTTCAGGATTTTCAGTAGCCCATGTAATCTAGTTTATTTTCTTATGACTCCGAGTATTGTGCAGATAAATTCTGAGGATGTCACTGTTAAAGAAGAAGCGGGACAAGCGGTCGTGCAACTTGTCGTGTATGCAGAATCTTCGCAGCATTTTTCATCTTCTTCTGCTCAGGTCCATTACCTGAGCTTGCCTTTTCTTTTTGCACTGAGTTGTTCGTTCGCGATGAATGACGACGAAAGTTCAAGCTTGAAAAATCTCTTGTTGTCGATGCCATTATCACTGATCTCTTGTTGTCGGTGCTTCTTTTTCTGATTAATGACGTGACTCTGTCAGACGCTGGCATCACGGTTTGGAAATCATACTGTTCAGCTGCCTGCAGTTTTTGGTACATATACTCTGAAAAGCTGGAAAGGTCTGCCTCCTTCACGAAGGTAAAGCGGTTGCTGTTCTTCTCTTGATTTTCAGTGTCAAATCATTTTAAACTGTGCACAGTAGACTCAAACTAGACCTCGTACTCACTTAATTGATATCATCCCTAAGAATCCTGTGTTGTGTTTCAGCAGGGGCTGGTTTCAATCTAAAAAGATCAAGGTTGCTGCCATCGTTGCTGGAGTAGTGGGTTTGGTGGCAATGTTAGCTCTTGTTCCGAGTTTAGCTTACTGGTATATTTCAAAATACAAGGAGAAAAACCAAGTTAATTACAAAAACTTGAATGCGGCAGAAAATTCCGAAGAGGAATCGTTGATTGGTGACCAACAATTGTAGTCACCCCCACATGTACCATGGGTTCACCTGTCACTGACTTGTGACACTCTTTTATTCAATGATTTAAAAAAAATCAGAACTGTAGACTTCACCAAGCGTGTTGCATCTTGTGCGTGTGTTCTTGCGCTTACCAGCAGCCTAAATTTCCCCTAGACTTTTAATAATATTTTGTTCTTGATTAACATAAATTCTTCCTGAGTGCATCAAACCTTACACCATTAGTTTCAGTTCTGTTCTTAACGTAAGTCAGGACGTTAGCTTTACCCACACCAAAAATCAAGATGGTTCAACATTCTTGCCAATTGTCACGTTAGCAATTGGCACGTTAGCCATTGAAATTGATCACAGGTGAAAATTTCGCCGTCATGCACTTTGAAGCAGTCTACGAGTATCCGCTTTCGATTGGGCACCAATGTTCAATAATCAATGCAGATGTGGATGTTCGTGACTGTGCACATATAAGCAAATAGCCTCAGAACTGTTTATGGATTTGTTGATGGAGAGCAGGGATTAGCCTGGCAGAGTGTGCTGGGACATGCTTTGAAGCCTCGTGCAACTTTTGAAAGCACCACTCATTTCTGAAAATTGATTTTGTGTTTGTTGCAGTGAGACAATCTGCCACTGAATAGTAATTCGATGACACGGTAATACCACCATTGTTGAAGCAATAGTTGCGTGGGATTTGAGCGAGAATTTGAAGAGAGTGCGGGTTCGTTTGGACGCTGCGAGCATAGGAAGAAGTACACGCGGAAGAGGAAAAGTGTGAAGGCCGAGGCACTTGGAACCTATTAAACTTCGACATCATGGTGGATCAGTGGCTAGAACAAGCTTCACCTCACCTATCACGTTTTTAAGTTTCTTTCCACACGATGCCTTCGTGACGTTCTTTGTTGAAGTTTAGATGTCTTCAGTGGAGAGGTTGCAAACGAGGAAGAATTCACTGTGCCAAGGGGGGTTGGGGATTTGCGAACGCTTTGGAAGGAAAAGAAAGCATGAGTTCGTTAGTGGTGGTGCAAGTGCATGAACGTGAACATCGGCCGAGTTCTTTCATCATGAATGAGTTCGACGGTGATGACAGAAAGTGGGCAAGTGGTGAAGAGGAGCAAGTCGGGGGTCGGTACGTAAAACAAAGAGCAGCCATCGAGGATGGGGTCGCAGTGGGGCCAATATGGAAAAAAGGGCGGAGGCGGTGTTTCACAAGGTTTTTTTTGCTGGCTTTTGCAATGGTGCACAGAACAAGCGACCGGAGCATGCGATGAGGTGTAGAGGAGCTCAGCAAGCATCTCACCGATGGACTTGACGTTGAATAAGCGATGAAGTCTAAACATGAGGAATCTTGCAACATCTTCCGATTACCTTACGGATACGATTTTTGCAGTTGTCGGATAGAATGCACATCAAAAAGAAAAATTGTCCTAATGGAAACCCATATGCTCATTCGATTCCGCGATCCAGCACGTAAGCTTTAGTGTCTATCTTCGTGATCTTAGTTTGTGAAGACGAGACTGATTGTTTTTGGTGCGCAACAGGCATTCTTTCTTGTCTTTTTACCAGTCTGAGTTTCGTGCATCGTCAATTTGTTATTGCCATGATCTTTCTCTTGAAGTGTGCCAGAAACGTTTTTGGATAAAGTTTACCTATTCGTTGTTCGAAAGAGTTTAAAGGCGTAAATTGAGGGGTCGGTGCAGTGGAGAAGTTGATGTTATGATGTTCGCATGGAGAGTTTCGTAAATATCCTTGTCGTAAGGTTCTTGACGGCTGTTTGAACAAATGGTGGAGCAAATGTATCATTGATCGGAGGGGTTTTTTCAGGGTGATAATTTTTGTGAAAATTCGGACACAAATGAACGTTTGTGGCTCTTCTTCTTTTTTTATTTTTTTTTTTATTTTTTTATTACTAGGGGGACACCAATTGAGGATGTTGGATTGGGTTCGGTTGTGCAATTGGACATTCTTTATGTGAATACAAGACATCTCGTGACCTTCCTTCAGAGTGATTTCACCGCTCCTTTTCAATGCGTAGGAATGTCAAATTACAGATTATGTGATAATTCTGCAGTGGGTCGAGGGACTTGGGTGATGCTGTGTGCTCCTGAGTTTCTTCCCGTTCAGGCTTGAAATCATGAAGATGAAGGTTGAGTGTCGGGTTAAGGTTTCGTGCATCTTGGACGTAAAGTTAAGTTCCCAACATGTTTCAACGAAGATTGAATAGTCACATACCCTAGACGTCGGTGAAATAGTCGCATACCTTAGACTTCTTCAGACGACAACGGGCGGTTGGTTGCTTGTGACTGACGTCAGTTGGGAACTTCGACGATGACGTCGTGTTTAGCGGAACACTCTGTCGTTGTGGTTATTGAACTGTTCGTTTAGATTCGGTCTTACAGTTGTATCATAAATCCTCCTAGGGTGCTCTCCAATTTCCTGTTGGATAATTACACGGCACTGCTGTTGACGCTTGTCGCAATCGTTGCTCCTCAACTGTAGCCTAGTCACGAGCACCTGAAGCTGGCGACATATGATTTGGGGGCCCTCTGATGTTCGTGCTATCTGTTCGAGTTTCAAGCTCTGGTATGAAATCTACTCCTTACAGAGTGATCTATATATGTAGTTTGGTGTAAGGCGTCGGCACAGTATTTGTGACTACGCCACTATCGACACCAGTCTCACGCTGGGTCTGTCAAGATCTGAATCACGGCCAGACACGCAATTTCTTCCAGCAGCACGAGCATTGTTCATTCTCAACTTGTAAACCATTTTCAGATTCGCCCATTTGTGGACTTAGAGTTCGGCGTTGAAACTTATCTGTGCTTGTAGAATGAATGTGGGTCGAGGGGTTTTGAAGGATTCATCGTTCGTAGGGGTTCGTTTGAATTTCTCTTCAACATCTCATGTGTACGCAAATTCGGCTCACGATTGCTGAATGTATCTTACACTCGCTTTTGCTTGGCCTGGGTTGATTCCATAGTGTTAAAAATATATTGATCTATTGACTTTCTTACGGGCTGTGATCTGGATGACTGCGTTCAGATTTGAGCTCTCTTTTTCCGAGTGGAGAGCGGCCGCACATATTATTGAATTCGAGTGGTTGCAAAAGGATTCCCCTGTCAAGTGGTTGTGTTCTTCCTGGTTGCGGCAGAGGAACGTCGGAATTTGGAGTAATTTGAGCCCTATTTCTTGGTGCAGCTACATTTTATCTGCGGTTGAGGCTTTCGTTGATTTTCTGTGGAAATAGCACGAGTTTTTCGATTTAGGGTAGAAATCCTAGGGTAAACATCTGTCTGGCGAGGGCAAGTGGAGGGATTTTTGTTTTCTTTGCTTAGGGTGATGAGAATGGGTCACGAGGGAGCAGAGTGTGAAGCGTTTCGTAGAATATGTCATGCTCTGCAGCTCCTTTAGGCAGATTACGCGGTGGGGTGGGATTTGCACTGAACAGAGCAGGACTTGCGGCATTGTTTAATCAAGAGCGTTGTGGTTGTGAACTTAACAGGAGAATGAACTTGTGAGCAACGAGCGGGGCTTTGATGCACAGGAGATACATGTGTTCAGTAGGGAGGGATACAACAAGGCTGTAAGCTCTTGTGTGGTAGTAAGAAGATAGAATGAGTGTCGAAAGTGCTGAAGGCGCGAAGGTGGCATGGCCCAGCCTCAGTCAGATAAAAACTGTGGCCCAGGCCTCGCAAGATGGCTTAGCGAAGCTGCTGGCCGCCCGGTCTGCATTATGTCAATCCTTGGAGAAGTCTCGTGCCATCGGCAACCAATTAGGTCAATCGGACAAACGACTGCAGACTTCTCACGAGCGCCTGCCCTCTGTGAGGAAAGCATTGGCGCCGCTGGAGGGGCAATCTAAGATCGTGGAGGGGCTAGCGCAGAGGATAAACAAAACCTTAGAGCCTGCAATGCAGGTTCTGAGTATGTTCGATGTTGTAAAAAAGATTAGAGTGAGGCTAATGCGGGAGCCTAGAGATGATTTCGACAGCTACATGTCAGCTTTGGTGCAGCTGGAAGACGCTGTGGATTATTTAAATGAGAATTCGAGCGTCGCTATCAAGTGGTTACAAGAAGCTGTCTCATATTTGAACGAAGCAGGTTCTACAGACACTGTGCGCTTGGACCGACTTAATGAGTCACTGACATTTTTGAAGTCTCAACAGGAAGGTAAGTGTTTTAACGCTAGATGTTAGTGTATATCAACCCATACTGTATTTTCCGAGTTTGAGTGAGGAAATCTCCTCATTTACTTACAATTAAGGGCAAGGTTTCTGTAATAGCCTGTCATGATTGATTTAAGTATTGGGCCACTGTATTGAGCTAAGTGTCGTAATTAAGCAGGTGGGACACATGAGATCGACGGTGGGCTATTACTTACCGCCTTTGGCAAGCTTGAGAAAGAATTCAAGCGCCTCTTACACGAGCACAGGCATCCTATTAGTTTGCCGGAAAGGATAGATAATGAGGTAGAGGAATCTCCTTCTCGAAATTCCGAGGTGGACTACTTAGACAGTTACACTCCTGAGGTGCTGGAGAGACTCCAAGCAATCATTTCAAAGCTAGTTGGCTATCCTCATTACCAAAGATGCATGTATGCATACCAAGATGTACGAAGTTCACTCTGTGAAGAAAGCCTGCAAGTAAGTTGTCATCTCACACTTCTTTTTGGTTCAACTCTGATACTGGATTATGGTTCTCGTTGCCTACTTATATTTCAGCTTCTCAAGGTTGAATTGTACTTCCAAAGCATGGGGCCAAAACGCCTTAAAACTTTCAGTAGTTTGAAGCTCAAACTGTTACCAACCTTTGACTAGGTCTTCCCATAGTTCATCCTGCATGTGCTGTAACTATGTTCTCAACCTAGAACTTGCTGACTGTTTTCTGTTCCTCCGAAATGTTGCAGACTTTGGACGTGAGTTATCTGAATTACAGTACCACAGCAGCAGTGGATACCGTCGCCTGGGATGATCTACAGGTTATGATACATAAATGGTGCGAACATTTCAAGATTATTGTGAAAATACTATATGCTGGTGAAAAGCGCCTCGCCCGTGAAGTGTTCAAATTTGTGGGGCATTCAGTCTGGGTGGAATGTTTACGCAATCTGGCTGAGAATGAGATGGACGCGTTTATGCGATTTGGATTAAGCGTTGTACGGGGTGAACGCTATCCTGAGAAGCTCAGCAAGCTGCTGGAAATGTTTGAATGCCTAGAGATGTGTGAACCCAGTGTTAATCAAGTATTTGATGGGGAAGTCTGTGTTGAAATTCGATCGCGTCATCGAGAACTTATGAAACAGGTGATTACTCTTCGTGACAAGAACAAAGCATGTCTTACTTCTTATTTGGCGTCTGTGCATGCATGCTAGCAAATAAACGGGGGTTTAAACAATATTTTCGAAGTCATATTTGGATGTTTGTCGGAGCTTTTCCCGAATGTTTAGTTACTATATCTAAGCTCAGGATGTGGCGCATTTCTACTGGACTCTAAGTTCTTGTTTAAGGAATCTTATTGTGGGCTCGCTAGCTTCGTGAACCTCCTTAGATATTTCGAGGGCTAACCTACAGTAAATAACCTTTTGAAATACACCCCTCCTTCTACGGCTCTATGTACAGTTGAATATAAATTTAAATAATATTAGCGACATCGGTAGAATTTTCAGCCAGCTTATCATATTGCATAGTTTTGTAAGAACTTTTGTTTTGTGACGTTCTGAGATCCAACATATTGCTTTGCTGCGTGCCCCATGTTACAGGTCGTCGTTGCATCTGACAAGACATTTCGGAGCATTCAGGGCTGGATAAAGATGCAAAGGGAATTCGTGACATTCGACGCCAGGGTCATGCCGATCTGCAGCTTTGTGGTTAATTATCTGAAATTAATAATTGGTTCATATGTTGATCCGCTGAGAAAGGTGCTCCGAATCGCTCACAGTTGGGCGGACCCTCGTGCATTGGTCAGTGGGAGCGAAGATGAAGACGAGGGACTGTCTCAGGGCATTGCTCAGATTTTACGAACTCTTGAAGAAATAGTTGAGGCTCGCGCCAGAGAAGTTCAAGACCCTGCTCTGCGCCACATATTTCTAATGAACAATATGTACTATATTCGCACCCGTGTGAAGAACAGTGAAATCGGACCGCTGTTGGGCGAAGACTTGATGTCAGGGATCGGCCGCAAGGTATTTGCCCTCAGCGTGAACAGACAGAAAATTAGTCATTTTTTTCATTTTTTCAGTGTAACTGATTAAAGTACTACGTAATGCACTTCTATTTGGCTGTAGCGAGCACATTTCGTTTTATTTTTAAAATGAAAAAATCTTTACACGTTCTATGATGCTATTATTCAACTATAAAGTTATTGTTCCATGTACAGGTGTCACAAAATGCATTGAAGTACCAGCAAGAATGCTGGCGACCGGTTCTTCAGCATCTCAGCCGTGAAGGGCTTACGGGTTCTGGATCAAGCAAGGGACACCGTGATTTGGTGAGACAACGTTTGAAAGCATTTAATGCAGCCTTTGACGAGACCATACAAATTCAGTCAAAATGGATAATTCCAGATCAAAACTTGAGAGACGGAACCTTGGCAGCTGTCACACAGATGGTGGTTCCTGCATACCGAAGCTTTATGTCACAGTTTGGGCCTTTACTTGAGAGTCGTCTCCGCGATCCAGATAAATATGTAAAGTATTCTGCCGAAATGTTGGAGACAATTTTAGGTGCTTTGTTTTTAGGCAACGGTTAATTTAATTCATCTTCGGAATCTCTTTGTATATATTTTGCGCATTGCTATGCTTTAGCTCATTCTCTCTGCTCTCACAACATACTTTTGGTGTACTCATTCATTTAACCGATATGGTAATGTGTTCTAACCAATCTCAAGTATCAGAAACCGTTCGTTATATATTTTCGCGATGTCCCCACGAAAACAGAAGGGTTTGTGTTCCTGACAAGCGTTACTCGGTGCTATCTCCCTTTGAGCAACCTCTTGGATGGATATTTCCAGTTCTATTTTCAGATTTAATACAATTTCATCAACTGACTAGACATCATCAGCACTTCGTAACCTAGTCCTGATGTCGGATTTCAATTTAATGCTTTAGTAGTGGCGAAATTCTAGCTTTCATACTATCAGAAATTGGCAGTTAAAATTATCATGAAGTTGATTGACTCAGTAATCACCGGAATACACGATAGGTGTACACAAATCTTACCAATAAGAGCAACTGGTGCAAACTATCACATTAAATGTAATTCCTCACTGAAGTCCGAAATCTTGCAACTGTTTATCGATGTATTACTTGATTACAATATATCCCACCCTAGGACGCACAGTTTCTGTACGTTGTAAGCTTTACCACACATTCCACATCGAGTAATCTTATTTTGATTGCCGTGACTGGAATTTCAACTTCACGCTCACAAATTGGACAAACGTTGAGGTACCTAGATGTAATCTTTGAGTCTGCAAAGACGATAAAATAAAGCTAAGGCAGAAACGCATGCTCGAATCTCAAAATCACGCGGCACCTCACCACAAGTACGAATCATGCATTCCATCCTATAAAGCTAACATGTAGAGAAGTTGCAGAACTCGACGCTAGAGTACAGTGGAGAAATCGAACTGGATGATATATCACCTGAACACCAAATTAGGACGCGTGGAAACTGAATGTGCAACTGTATGTCTACATTAACTATAGAGAAAAACCTAAGTTTACACACGCAGGTCCACATAAAACCATGTGAAACTTGACAACTCTTACAGTTGAACAAGTACCTCTACAATACAAGCAACTCTATAACTTGTAAACGACCATGACATTCAAAATACTTCATGGTAAGAAGCTGAATCCAAGCAGAATTGAAAATGTTGTCTGAAACTCTATCACAATTCTACCACAAACTTCGAAGGGACTTTTTGGGAACGATAGTGAGACATGAATTTTATATTATCGATCACTCCCTCATATGGCCTAAATCCTGAGAATAGACTGGTAGTATGTAGATGTGGACTAACATAACGCATGTATTCTCTGCAGTGGAACAACAAAACTCTTATTGGCACTGTACAGTTGCATGTACAAAATGGAAAGCTTTCCTTCCTTCCCAGAACTTCCAATTTCACTAGCTCCAATATCAGTACAAAGCATCACTCGTCCTTTGGTGTGTCCGATTCAGAAGAGGAAGGCTGTGCATCAGGGGACTCAGTTGGCGCATCCTCACTCTGGGCAGTGTTTGGCTTAACAGTACCCACCTTCACGTACTTGCTTATGAACTTGTACTCCCAATCGTTCAGAGCTTCGACCTCATAGGAACTTAAGCCTTCAGTGTCACCTGTCAGATCCTTCTCCTCAAAAGACATTTTAGCCAATGCTCTACTTGCGTCTTTTCCAGCGAAGAGGGCATAAGGTCCTCCAGTTCCGTAAAATGCCCTGTTTCAACAGACATTCCGGTTTGAACTACAGAAAGTCAACAAATAGTTTAGAACCCTGACCACACTAGTGGCAAGTCATCGCTCCTCCGTAAGAAATATAACTCTGAAAAGTCGGCTAGACCCAATTCACCATCGTCTATTTTCAAAAGGAAAGACCATCAAACTGATATGGTTTTAAGTTGGAAATTGGTCATGGTCAAGCATGTATTTTTTTTAATCGAGTCAACAATCCACCTCAGAACAGAAGGTTTGGACTCGGGGATCAATGAGTTCTTGCGTCGCTTAGTATCAAAAAATGGAAATATCATAAACATGATTTCGGATCCATGCCATGCCATACCATCGTCAGATCGGGCCTGCTTCTCTTTTCCGAATTCTCTTACACGCATGTTCAAACAAGATATTTTGCCTTCAATGTGCTGTTTATGAAATTTATTTCTATTTGACACGCCTCTTCTTCACAGAGATTATTGAAACCCATTTAAAATATAAAAGTTCACATACCTTGATTGAGATACATCATAAATTTGTCCTTTAATAGCCATCAGCAAAGGCTTGCTCGGATCAGTACCATCATAGGCTGCGAGCTCTTTTGCAGTCAGCTCCCCGACCTGTGCAGGAGGCGGCAATGGCTGCACGGGGACATACTTGACAGGTGGTGGTGGTGCAAAAAGACCCAATATTAGGTAATAAATACCGACCACCAGTCCAATGATTGTAAAGAAAGTACCCGCTGAGAGTCCCGTGTATTGCGGGATCAAAGCCAATGTAGCATTCACGAAAGCCATCTCCACCACCCTACCTTGCTTCAGTTAGTAAAAGCAGATTGCAATCCTCCACAGTTCCTGTAAACATGAAACCAAGGCCACATAATTCATGATCACGTAACTTCATGTTGATTGTCATGACGCCAAACTTATGCAATCAACTTCATCTTCAGACTCGCACAAATCGGCAACAGAGTGTGACAGCTACAAACTTGTAGGTTGGTGTAGCAATGTTTTAGGAGATAGCAGAGACACAAAAAACAAAGAAAAGGAAAAACCATGCATGCGTGGAGTTCTAAACCGCGCAGTACCTCATTCCAGGGAAACAAAATACAAAAATTCCCTCCAACAAAGCAAGCACGCACAAGAGTTGGGTTTCAAACGAGTTTCATTGGCAGGTTTAGGGACCTTCAAAAATCTACCTATTACCTGCTCCAGATGATGAGTCACTAAGAATAGAGACAATGAATACGAGGCAAGGTGATTTATCAGATAAAACATACGCAAAAGGCCCTTTTGTCTGAGCAAGGGGTGGGTTTTATTGATACAAGGCACTGGGTCGAGAAATGATACTGCTCTTAGGTTGGGTCGACAAAGAGCCAAACCCTAGCTCACATCCCCCTCGGTGGGTCTTTGCTAACAGCAGCATCAAGCAATAGGCTCAACGAAATAGTCCAGAAAATCACTCTTCCAATGATACAAACATCACATTGAAACCCAAAAGATGCTCCCCCTAAAGCTACTCCCCAAACGAAAATCGCCAAACCAACATCTAGAACACAGGTCTAGGGTCAGCAACTTCCGCTCAATCCCACTAAACCTCACTTCCCGCAACGCGAACTCCTCGTCCACACCCCAACAACTGCATAAAGGAGAACTACCACCACTTAAACCCAACCACTGAAAATCCCGAAACCTACTATGCATGCAACAAGCGCTCCTCAACGTCAATCAACAATCGCATTCCACGCAATAAAAGCTCATTCTCCCATGTTCTTACACGAACCAATGCAAGAAAATGCCAAGATGACTGAGATGAAGCGAAGGCGAAATAGTCGATGGTGTGCTAAAAAGGAGGAGATCCTTTCTCGATAACAACGCAGCAAAGACTGAAAGGCCTCGACCAGACGAAAGGGGAACTACTCGCAACACGAACTCGTCAAGCTTGGCAACCTGGGAATAAGTTGGCTGCGACGCAACCTCAAGTCTGACTCCTCTGCGAAGCTCCCACCCCTACGGTTTCAGTCCATGTATTTTTTATATGTGCAGTAAATATTAAAAGGTCGAACCTATGACCGGGAAGCGGCGGTTCCTGAAAGCTTCGCTCACAGTATATTTATGGGGTTCGGCAATTTGTGGGAGCCTTTGACCACTGCCCCCCAGCAACTCGCATTTGGATTCGCGTTCTGGTTTCAATAAGTCGTTCTACGGCTTTAGCATATTGGGCTGATTTGGTTGTGCATCGCAATTGCTGAGCGTCATAAATTTCACTAACAGGGTACGCATCTAATTCCTTTACCACCTGTAATTCGGATGGCAGCTTTTCGTGATAGAATGTGCATGTTATGGTTGTGAGAGTCAAACTGTTAATCTGAATCTGAGTTTTGCTTGAACCTCAATGTTGCTTGAAAGTTTTGTCGAACCGTGCGGAGAGGGAAGAAAGTTCAGAATTCTACAGTAGAAAATGCGGTATCCTTCCTCGTGACAAAGTGCTCTGCGTTGCGTTTTCTCGTCGTCGGAAAAAGCCGGCATTCGTGTGTCGAAGTTAGAAATGATTTATGCTAACGTATGATGCAGGATGTTGCTTTGAATCTTAGAGTGTGGATTCTACATGTCCTCGATGCAATGTGGGAATAGTTTTTTTTTCTGGTTGGAGTGGGTTTTATTTAGTTACATGGTCAGAATGAAGTACGGTGATCCAGGTCCATTGGTCTTGGACAGCCCAACTTACAACCATCTCTTCCCGTCATTCTCCCTCAACTATCGGAATAGTTCTCACTAGGAATGTGCATCGAAGGTAGAAATATATTACCACCTACAGCCAGAGAATTGCTACTCCTGAACATGATATATCCTTCGCACTGAATGTGGTTCCGATCTAGAAGTCAGGATTCTTTACGATGGTTGATCAGACTATTGATTAGGTCTTTAGAAGTCTTGGAAGTAGCCGGATAACTTTAATTTTGTCTTGGCTTCGTATCAAAATATTCACTTCCTTGAAATCTTTCTTGTCCATACCAATTTATATCCCATTGTGTGTTGTGTCTGCGTCAGATTCCTTTCACCATTGCTTTGGAAATACGTGAAGGAGGCAAGTTGTACATGCTGTACTTTGCCAAAGTTGGCATCCAGGTGAAGGCCTTCACACCCATCTCGTGGACTCTGCTTCTCTGCTGTCAATATGGATGAATATTTGTTCACACAGAGTTACCAACCACAACCATGGTTGTCATATTTGTCAATTTTGACGCTGGCTGGTTTCAAACGCCATGAATCATAATGCCAAATGGTACCAACGATCCAAAAAATACACATGGTAAAAAAAAATTCCTTATGACTCAGTTTGTTTCGACTTAATTGCTGACAATTGCTGAACAAAGTGCTGACACAAAAGAACCCCCAAGTACATGGCTTTAGAGTTTTACTGGATAAATCGTAAGTCCTCGATATTATCTCGACCTGGTATCTTCCGTCCCTCTGTACCTTAGTTGTATAAGCCTAAGGAAATTCGCTTACAGTTGAACTTTTCTCAGGATTCCCACAAAAACAAATATCAACAATCGTTGGATTGTGGTGGAGCAGAAAGAAAAGTATGAATGTTTCAATGTGCATCTTTCTAGATGTTTTTTCTGTGTACAGTCTCTGTGTACAGACTGCAAGATTCTGCTTTGCATATCCAGCTTGAATTGAACGAAAATTTGTTCCTAACTGTAAACCAGTTGCAACGCAAGCAGGACTGTGCTATGTATGAAGGTGACTTTAGTCATTCGGGGGTTCTCTAATGAGGAACTCCACGTTTTGAGAAACATATCAATCGCTGTCTTCGTTAATGCTGTTGAGAATGCCATGCTAATTTCGTGCTTGTTATGATTGATACTTGCATCCCTGTCTATCCCCTCTTAATGTTTTGCTGTATTCGTTGTATTATGAGCTGCTGGTCGGTTGCCTCATAGTTGGATATCCTGACTTCACGAGGTTTAATCCTCTAGGCGTGTTGTTACTCGGGTTTGTAATTAAAACGCGCCACACCTTTGAACCACTCTTGTTGAACCATCATATGTTGATACGTTAATATTCAGTGCACTATTAAGTTTCTAATGAGCCATCAGGATGCTTTTGCATCTTAGCCTTGCAGCCATGGGCATCTTCTTCAATGTTGCCATTACATTTAGCTGATGTTTCCTCGAGAGAAAGCAACCTTTCAACATCTCTGAAGCAGTGTGTGTGTTTTAAGGTGAAATTGAGTACTTACCAAAGGACCAACTGCATCAATAACTGCCACTGTTCCGTTTGAGAGCAACCTAGCGATGTGGGAGGTGGAATCACGTAAATGTGCCGACCCATGACGGGATGTAGTTCACCTTGCTAGGTGTGAAGACGAAGATCATGTCACAGGTTGTACTTTGGATTATGAGAATGAGGATTACTTAGATCCGAAACATGGGATAGTGAGAATCTAGATGGCTAAGATGAGATGACGGTGAACTTGCCTCGACGCAGCGAAAGTGGAGTCAATGCTCCCTGCTGCCCCAGACCTTCCTCAAGAATCCGATTGTTCTGTACTTTGCAATGGCTCCGACCCTATCTCGGATGATGCTCCTTCAGAAAACACCAGCAGAGCCTCAACAGCAGCAGAATCCCTCTAGGATAACAACATGACCGAACTCGTGGAGGCAACTCAAAATTGTTTTAAGAAGAGCATGCCTGCTGCATTCTAATGCCAACTCTCTCTCTCTTCGGAGTTAGCCGAACGTCAAAACGAGTTGATCCTCAATCTGCCTCAGCTGCAAAACAGTGGACATTGTTAGCACCAGCGTTGAAACCTTCAAAGCGAAGAATGATTACTTCTTTAACTGCTACTGCAAATCTATGAGGGCATCACCTAATGGGACAAGTCTAACTGTTGTTGAAGGGAAGTACTCTCAATGCAGTTTCCACGCTGCAGTTCAATATCTTCTTCGTCCTCTCTCAGCAACTCATCAGCCATAATTGGCGCTGCAAGTCAGGAAACTAAGACAGCAACGGAGAATCCAAGGCAAACACATGAACACACAATCCTACTGCAAACTGAAGAGTTTTGAATGGCTTGATTACTAAACATCCCCACTTCTTTCTCCAAGTATACTTGTATTTAAAATGTCGCAAGGTGAGGAGTTTATGATGAGCCAAGTGAAATTATTTGGATCTAGAGTGGTATCTAAAAATCAATGTCAAAAGAATGTTGGTAGTTAGAAATCATCAATCTCACGACTTAGAGTCCCATTTTCGTAGACCATGGTTTAAAAGTTTCATGAAAGTTTCTTGTTTGGTGGAAAATAAATGTTTTTTGAAGCCTTATTTTTTTAGAGAGATAAAGTGTGAAAAAGCCATGACATACACTAAATCATATGTTTATTTTGATTTTAGATATAGTAGCTCAAATCTTTATTGTAATAATTAAAATTATTATTAAAAAAATAAATAATTAATAAATTGGTTGATAAAAATTAAAAATTAAAAACTAAAAATGATTCTTCAAAGTCAATCTAATGCAAATTTTATAAAAAAATATTATTTATGCTATGCAAAAAATACGTGCATTGTACTTCATCTTTTCCTTTTATGTCATTTTAGCTGATTTTTTTAAGTAGAAAACTAAGCAATAGAGGTTTCTTTCTAATTTCAACTAGTCAAAAGTTTAGAAAGTTGTGGCATCTTGACTTCTCTCCTAAAAAATAATTAAATATCTTAGTTTTATAATTTTGGATGCTACATGATTATTTAAAAATACTACTATATAAAACTTAATATTAACAAGAAGAATTGTATTCTTATTGTAAAAACCCAAAACAAAGTATCTAATATTATCCAAAGTAAAATTTTAAAATTACAAAATATAAAATATATAGTTATTATTTACGAATTTATTTTTTATCATATGAGTGATTAATAGCTAAAGTCTTTACAATATTTAATAGAATCTACTCTAATAGTATACAAAGGAGTTAATAATTGATCAATTTAGATAGAATATTTACACAAGTAAAATAAAATTAGCCAAAAATAAATATTTTAATAGAAAGTTGTAAGCACTAATAAGACATTAATTTATAAATAATATGCTACCAGTTACGTTATTTGAGTTTTCTATAGTATTTGCAAAGCTCTAATATCAGTCTTAAGCTGAATTTAGATTTTTGTAATTAGAATATCATATTTGAATTAATAAGGTGACTTTTTGAAATTATAAAGTAATCAGAATATGTCAAAACTTGTGTAACAAGGGTGTCATAGTTTATTATTTATGAGTAGACTTGCAATTGATTTCAATGCAATTTCAAGACAATTTGTGTGTAATTAGCACTAATCTTTTGAATAAGTGATTGAGTTTGAATTAAAAAGAAAAAACCAATGGTAGAATAATTAATTGGAATATTTGAGAACTTATGTAATAAGAGTGTCATAGTTAGTTGTTAATGTAAAGTCTTATAGCTGATTTTAATGCAATTCAAAGGTAATGTAGCATTAATATTTTGAATATGCGATTAATTTTGAGTTAAAAAGATGAAACTAATGGTAGTATAATTAATAATTGACAAGGTTTTAATATCAAAATTCGAATTATGATCTATTGGAGCAAAGATAATATCGTAATATGTGTAGAATTGATTGTATTGTTATAAAAAATGATTAAATGTTTCACAAGTGTCTACATGTGATTAATTTGGGAAATGATATTTTAATTAGAATATTTTTTCTTAGTTCAAATTTATAATTATTAATTATATAAAAAAATCTAATAAGAGTATTCTAATCTTGATTGAAAAGATGAATATTATTAAAAAATCAAACTAAAAAACTTTCATCCACTAGTATTATAAATAGACCATTAGACAAGAGACAACAAAAAAAGTATAAAGAACAATTAATACAAATATTAAAATGAAAACATTATCAAAGTGATACTAGAAAAGATGGCATTCAATATGAAATTATAAAAATATTTAATTTGATTATCAAACCTATATTATAAAAGAAGTTAATAAATAAATAATCAAATTAGGCATAAGAGTTAATTAATTTTTTTAATAAACATCTATAAATAACAAAATAATTGTTGTAATATATTAAAAGTCATTGATAATTTTTAAAAGTTATAAATAATGAATCAATTAAAGAATTTTATATTACAATGGAAGCTCAAGAATGTAAAAGATGTAATAGAAGATATATTAGATGAATGCCATATCAACCTTAGCATAGATGCAAAAGTAGCAAATAATGCAATAATTGAAGTTTTGATATATAGAATGTACTAAGAAAAAGGTAACTACAATGAATAGTTATTATATATATTGAATCATATAGACTTACAATATAACAAATATTATAGTGTAGAATTTATAATACATGTTGATAAAAACATGTTATTACTAGTCTTTTATTATTATTCGATTGATTCAAATATAATAAGAAAATTGATATGAATTAATTAAAGATTAATTTTAGACTTCTTTGGTGAATAAACTAATAGTTTAAAATATATATATATATATATATATATATATATAATATATATAATATATATAAAAAAAAACTATGACAATAGAATAAAAATTTAAAAGATATAAATTATATCAAAAAATAATTTTATTTAGCTATAATTACAAAAAAACAAAATCTTGACCAAGAGTATGTGTATTGTATATTATTTTATTAATGTATTTTTCATATTTTATCACAAATTATGATCCAAAATAGATTTCTTTTGATTTTTTTTTTTAGATTATAGAGTGGCTATTTATTTTTCTAAAATGGTTCTTTTTATGTTACTATTTATTATTGATATAAAAATTAAAATATGTACATATAGAGGTTATATGTGGTCAACTTTTATTTTGTAATTGGTTTAGTTGAAAATTTATAATCCTTAAATAGATTAAATATCTCTTAAATAAATAGACTTTTATTAATGGATGTACATGATTTTAGATTTAAAAATTTTACTATGAAAAAAATATATTATTATTAATATAAAAATATAATTTGAATTAAAAGAGACTGAGGTTTATGCTAAAATAGATCTATAAAATACATACAATCTAGTGCATATCAAAGAAGGAAATACTTAGAAGACTACATTTTGAACTAGATTTGGTTATTTCTAATACAATGTCATATTTTTTGGATTTAAAGATCCTTCAAAAAAAATTGATAAATAATATATATTTTATTTATTATTTTATTTTATTATTTTATTTTTAAAATATTTCCTATGCATTCTAAGATTATAGAAGAATATGATCAATATGCTTGCCTTGTATTAAATGAACTAAGAAATATAAGGTTATATACCAAAATCAAATATATATATATATATATATATATATATATATATATATTACACAACTAAAGTGGAATTTTTTGGATTATATTATTATAAATATAAACTTAGAAATGGATTTTAATAAAGTATAAGTTTTTTTTAGATTCAAACATAAAAACCATACATGGTGTTTATCACTTTTTAGAATTTTCATAACTACTATTGGATATTTGTTAAACACTTCTTATAAGTTATTAATCTACTTACACAATGAACTTGTGAAAAAAAAAAATTAGAATCAAATGATTTGCTAAGAAATCACTGTTAATTTTGTAGATTTATAAATACCTATTTGTTATATCATAGGTTGAAACAAAGATCATAATACTTACAAATTTATAAAAAATGAATGATAAATTTAAATTATATAAATATTTTTGTTTATATACAATTTTCATTACATGTCTTTTACATTAAAATATTGTTACAAAGCAGTATCTAATAAGTTCCTTAAATATGAATGTATCTATAAACAATTTATGTTTCAAAATTTCAAAAATATTTCTTTCATACTTTAAAATTTAATATATTAATAATTCCTTTGTATTTTATTATAAGGTTTAGTATTTTGTGAATTTGTTTCAATAAAGAAGTATTGTGTGTGTATGTGTGTGTATATATATATATATATATATATATATATTAAATCAATAGTTGATGATAATTTTAGGTAATTCAACATGTTCTCATAGTAATTTTTTTAAAAAAATTAGAAATTTATATTTGGATTTTATGGAGTTCAATCATTAACATGGTATGCAACAAAGGCTAAAATTATTTTAAACCATCTTCTTACCAACAAAATTCCATGATTATTAAATTGATCACATGGTTATATACCACAAAAATTGATGTTGATATTTTTGGATTTTACATCCATATAAAAGCTAAAGACCAAATAAAATAATGAATGATCATGTAGCATTATTGCATGAGCTCGATTACCATTTATTTGGAGACCAATGCACAATAGCTAAAAACAAAAACAAATCTTTGCATGCATTTGTTGAAAAATACTATCTTTTTTCATCTTTAACCCAATAATGCAATGAAAGATTGGCATACATAGTGGTTAATAATACCTTCGCCTAAAAACGTTTAAGCAAATCTCGTAGTAACATATTCTTTTTATTATTATTTATTCGATTTATGGTTCACTAGAAATGGGCACAGTGTGAACAGAAACAGTTTTGAGCCCGAAATTTGTGTTCCCCTTTGAAGGGAACGCGATATAGGGGAAGAACGCCCACATTATTCGAGGAGAGCGAAGGCCTCCAATCTTTTGCTTTTGAAAAACGTAACTTTTCGGTTTAAAAAAAGCAAGTGGAGGGAAAGATTCTGGGTTCGGACCCGAACGCCAAACCTCAGGACCGGGTGACCCCCACCTATTTAACGGGCGACCTACTTTCATATAGCGGGTGACCCTCTCCTGGTCATATACCCCGCAACGTCCCGTCCCAAATTGGAAATGGGGTCCGGTCCGTGATACCGGGTCCCATTCCAGGCTCAGGACGGGTCCTGGAATTCAAACTCAGGTGTCGTGTAGCGCTTGGGGACTCCGCCAGTGGCACCCCGTTTTTTATGAATGGAGGAAGGGAATCCACCCTAAATACTCCCCTTTCTCTTTTTGTCACATGGGTTTATTAATATAATTATTTATTTATTTTCCTCCATTTTTCCATGTGGAAAACAACTTTGAATTGGGTTAATTGGATGAGATGAGATTTCTTTGGTTATTTATAATACACTCATTTTGGTGGTAGAATGTGATGCATAAGGGATTTACATTGTTGTATGCATCGCAACTTATGTATAAAAGAGAAAAAGAAAAAATAGAGAATGTGAAGGTTATAAGGCATGATTTGTATCTTATTATGGAGCATGAAATCAAAATTATGGTGATTCTACAGATGACATATGTTTGTATTTATTTAGCATAGCACATTTTAGAAGATTTCAAAAGATTTTTAACTTAGATTTCTTTTCTGGTCTTAATCAACACAGTAATCATAATGCAATGAATGTTGTTTTTGAAGGACCGTTTTTTAAAGTATTATGTTCTACAATTATGTATATTTTTCATGAAAGCAAAGCTGAGCTTTTCATGAAATCGTTTCTTTTAAAACTGATTACATAGTTTGACTACTTTCTAAAATTGCAAAGAAATTAGTCAGCCATGTAGTTTTCAAAGGTGTTAAAATTTTAATTGGTAAATACTACATATATGAATATATATATATATATATATATATATATATATTTATATATTGGTACATAAAGTTTGGTTATATTTTGCATTGATTATTTTATTATCATTGTTACCAGTACAAATTTTGTTAATTGTTTAAAAATTTGGAATGCAAAAATGGATGTCCAATGGAGCATAAATAATATAAAGTAAAAAGTAAAATTAAAAAATAAATTTCAAATAGTCTTTGGGGTTACAGAATACCACTAAGTCTAACAAATATAATCAATCTTTTAGGTATCTGCAAGGAGAAGAATGATTGTAACAATATAACAAATCTTGATTTTCATTCAAAATCAAAATGGCAGTTCATAAAAGAATAAAAAATGAAAAATAAATTTTGTAGAGAGTGCTTGGGTGGAATAAAATCTAGTTTAAAGTCTCGATTTTTTTCATTTGAAGAATCACAAAATGCTCAATTTGATTTGAATTTATTAAAACATTCTAAAAAAATTTACGGAACATGTATAGAGAAATATCATAATTGATATATAGTTTCTGATAACGGGAATTGAGTTATATATATTTTATCTAATTAGACACTCTTTACTTATTCTGTTCAATGAAATAAAGTTTTCTATTAGTTGTCTTCTTTTTTTCATAGTTTTAAGATTCGTTTACCACATAAGAATCATTTGCACAAAATCAACTAAATTTGTAATTTTGGACGGGCACAAATGCAAACGTTTGTATTTCAAACTTTTCATATCAAAGAACCTCTTTAAAAATAATACACTTGTTTTAATTCACAAAGATATGCTAAATTCATCAATTATCAAAATCAGTCATTCCTACTGTGCATATCTGTGAAACCTTTTGCTGAAACGATTGTGGACAAAACCCACTTTACGAGAATAAATACAACACAACATTCTTCTATTCACTTGCTTTTCCATGTGTTAAGGTCTAAATTCATGACAATCATGTTCAACAAACTCTGTAATGCAGAGTGATTCCGTTTTTTTGTAGTACTGCATGAGAAAATCGTGAAAGAAACAAACAAGCGGAATTGGGTGGCCCGGAAATGCCGAATGTTCTGCTCGGAGTGAGTGTGGGTGTATTATTTTGCAGTCACCACCATTTCGTAGATCCTGTGTGCAGATTCCCACGCAATAGTCGCCGAGATCGGTCCGGAATGCGTTGCCATTTCCTGCATTGTGGGTTGTTGTTGTGTTTCGCTTCTGTTTCCGAATGTTTGCCGGAGTGGGGATGATGAGTGGGTGAGAGTTGCATTGCTTGAGCTTCAAAGCTTTTTGAGGTTTGCCGGAATCGGTTGACTTTGGGTTAGCGAGCTAATCAAGGGCGGTGCAAAAATACCAAAGGATTCGGCCTCGGGTTGTGGAAAAATAGGAAGCACGAGGTTTACATTGACTTGTCCCACAAACGAGAATCCATTGCGGTAGAATCTGAGCGACGAGCTCATAGGTCGAGGACTGAATTTAGAAGCCACGGGCAAGATAAGCCCCAAGACCCAGCCAACAACCATCGCCAGCGCGCACGCGCGCCGGGCTCCGAACGCGGGCGGGTATCTGTGGTATCGATGGGGAGGGAGGGAGAGGGTGTCACGTCCTCGCTGCGGTCCAGGCACCACCGCTAAGAACGAAGAAAGACAAGAAAGACAAGGCGAGAAAGAAAGGTTGAACGGGGGTCGAGAGGTGGAGTCGTCGTAGTGTCAGCAGTAGTCATCCCAACTGTCGCGATGTGTTGATGGTTGATGAGGAACGAGGACGAGGCCATGACAGTGAAAGCCGGGCTTTCTGGATATGACGGAAGCCCGCCCAATCCCCCCCCCCAGCCCCCGCTACAAAAGCCTCTCGCATTCGCTTCCACGCGACCTTCCCTCCCTTTTCTCGTTTGGACCGTGTTGCAAATTCACGCATCGCGCCAGCATTCATAATCAAACCATTGCATTCATTGCAATAATTGCAGAAATTGGATCTCGTCGACGACGGGCAATACCCACAGCTCTGGACAGTGCTGCCACCTGCGCACCTCGCAGACAAATATGTCGCGCCATCATCGTCGTTGACATCATCTCGGTTGTTGTCGGGTGAGAAGCAATATAGTTGCACACAGTCGTCGTCGTTGTCGTCGTGGGACAATGACTGCTGTCGTCGTCAAGCCGTGGACGTAGTTCTCTTGAGGAGGCTTTGATCACCAGGTTGGCGAGAGTTCGATTGTTTGGATTTTGGGCGGGGTGAGTGACTTGATCTCGGGATTCGAGAGTGGCTTTGTTGTGGGCTTGGCGTTTTGATGAGCGTCGAGGTGCGGGGTGGATTTCTTCTGGGGACTTCTTGGTTTTGGTTGGAGATGCAGCAGGGACCAATTTCGTGTGGGGATGTAAATGTTCAGTGTGAGAGTTCAGGTTTTTTTTTGGGGTTAAGGAGGGCGGTATTGGGTTGAAAGAAGGAGGGCTAGTGTGTTGTGAAGCGGAATGGAGGCGTCGGGAGAGACGAGGGGATGTTTGAAGCTTTTTTGGGGTGGTAGAAGTTGGGAACTCAGTTTGTTGGACTTGGGGGCATGCCAGTTGCTTCTTGATACCCCTCGCTGGTTTGCGCTTTGGGTTGTGGCTATTGTGACTTGGCCTTTAACGTGTTGGAAGTAATTTTGTGGGACGAACAAAGGTTTTTGTTTTTATGGACATTCGAATTGATCAAGAGTTTATGTCACCCCTCTAGTATCAATCTGGGAAGTCCTTCATTTGAGCTAGAGACTCGTGAAGATTCTTGAGGTTTCTCGCTTGCCGTGCCTGCACACCTTGTAATATGTGCCATCTCAACCTGTGCTCTGTTCGAGTAGATCAATGCCTAGTACGCGTGCTGGGCTCTCGTAGTTCTCGCATCTCCTCTGCAGGTCATGTCGTTTGTTTCATTTCAAGCATGTTGAATTTGGGCATAATGCGCTTGCAGTTCTCTCTCTTCTTTTCTCAATTTGTGGCACAGGAGCAATGGTGTTAATTGCAATATATGTGCTGTCAGCCTGTGAATGTTGAAAGGAAATTCCCCATGGAGTGTCTCTTTTAGCTTTCTTCTGGATTGATTATCCTACATTTGATGCTACGTGTGAGAAAGACGCATGATACGCTGTCGGCCTTGACGCACTGAAACCTGTTTCCTATCCAGGGTGGAGGAGCGATGTAACGATGACCAATCAACAGGCGCTCACATGGAAGGAGACCCTGCATTCAGGGAGGCCTAAGATTGAGTCCAGCGAGATCAACGACCTTCTGTACTCAAATGTATGTCTTCTCAACGTTCCTCGAATGGTCATGTCTGTTTTTGAAAAGCAGCATGGACATTTCTTACATCTTCATTGTTTACAATAGTGATGTGAGGGAAGCAGTTGTAGCATTCATCTTTCTTGGCATTCCTCAGCTCTTCGGTATCTCATGCGGGTGTGTTGACATTCCACTTACTTGCATGTTATACCTTTTCATAGGCGAGGTCTTCAACCGCAGCTGTGGAGGCGTCCTTGATTCTCAATTCAATTCTGATCTCCAGTGTGTAGGTCATGTTTTAGAGACCCTGGAACCTTCAGCACGTTCCCCCCTACGATTTCCTACGTAGGAATCGATTGTTGACTTATAAAATTTGTTTCCCTCGATGTCATTGCCTTACCAGATGAAGCGGAGGAATAAGTCCGAAGAAAGACACGAAGTGGAGATGAATGGGTGGAATGAATACGTGAATTCTGATCTTAGCCCTGCTCCAACTCCCTCAGGTCCACGAGCGAGAGTCAGCCGGCCCAAGGCAGGGAAGCAGGCGAAAAACTGCCCTTTGACCCCAAGACCTTTAGGGGCTGGTAGGACATGATTCCGCAAAGCTTCTTTGTTGATGTTAAGGTCTAAAGGTGTAAAATATGCATTCCAATACAGCACATGCTGTGACTAATCGATTTACACTGCATACCAATGTGTATAACTATGTTTTTGTTTTTTTTATTTTGTTTATCCTCATTTGCGACCTGTTGACGAGTGAACAATTTAAGCAGCTCGATATGGTGGAGCGATTCTGCTAGATTGAGTTGGGGCAGAATCAACCTGTAGTCGTGAAGCGTTTCCTGAAGTTGCGTTTAAGATTAGGATGGGCAATGGTGTCTCACGCCATGTAGCAAGATTACTAATCCCTGCACAAACAAGTCGATGTAGTCTAAGGCAGAAGCCTCTCGAATTCTTTTTGACTCTTCGACGATTTGTAGGTTCTCCTACAAGCAGCGCACCAACCCCAACAAGCACTTGTCGCTACGACAGTTCACTGGGTATGACAACCTTGCTCCTTTAACACGTCATAGTTTTTCATCATGCCGATTCCAGGTTACTTAATGAAACCTAAGACAGCTCGTGCTGTCACGAAATTTTACGTGTATGAAGTTGATAAACAGGTCATGACTTTGGGGGGTTTTGAAGAAGGGAGCATCTTAGTGCCTCGCCCTTGCTTCTAATCTGATGTCCTGGTTACCCAGGTCTCCTGACAAAGAAGTTTATCGACCTTATTAAGCAAGCAGACGATGGTGTCTTGGATCTGAACAAGGCCGCAGATACTTTGCATGTTAGCGTTCTGCCCGGTTTTCCCTTAGATTTAACCATAGAGATTCAATTCTGATATTTAATCGTGAGTTAAGATTGCTGCAATAATGTTGATTGCCACTAGCATTATGGTCAATTTGTACTTTACTTTTCTGATATGTAGCGCAATAATGTGTTTGTATTTCTTTAAAAATGCATTAACTCATCTTTCATATTTACATTCTGATGGCCTACAATGCTGGGAATTTTACTATTTATTTCATCAGGTACAAAAGAGAAGAATATATGACATCACCAATGTGTTAGAAGGGATTGGGTTAATTGAGAAGAAGCTGAAAAACCGGATTAGATGGAAGTCAGTAAATTCGTCTACTTCCTCAATGCAACAATCTTACTAGACTATTGCAAGTTTATGACTGCATGCTTTAAAATAGAGTACGAATTTAACGTTCAGTGACAAAAGATTAGCAGTGACAAATCTTCGAATTAAAAATAGCATCTACTGCACGTAAGAAATATGTGTCATTGCTTGTGCTGGTTTTGGATGCAGGAGTCTTGGAATGGTACGAGCTGCTGACACCACACATGGTGCAGGAGGGCTACAGGTACGTATTTTCTAGGTGTTGAAGTTCCGTCTGTTTCTGGTTAATGCTGCAATATATTCTAGAATAGAGCCTCATGGACATGAGCACATGGTGCCTTTAGGGCAATGTCGTCTGTAACTCTTAATCGGCAATCTTCTGCTTTGATGTAGGCTGAGGTGAAGGACCTTTACAGTGAAGAGAAAAAGCTTGATGAGAGTATCAGGTATTTCACTATTCTACATGCATTTTTTTCCAGTTCGTATTGTACATCGTCATTGCCATTTTTGAGTCTTGGCACGGAACAGATTGTAGTTTGTTTGTTTGTTTGTTTGTTTGTTTGTTTTTTTAATTTCTTTTATTCTGTTATTTTATTTTATTTTATTTTTGGGTGACTTGAAGTGAAATGAGGGAGCAATTAAGGAGCTTAAGTGAAGATGATCACAACAAACAGTAAGACGTTTCCGTGTATGTTAGGTGTTATCAGCAGCATTGAAGGTTGATAAGGATTGTAGCTGCATCTTTCATTTCTCTCCATCGTATGTGTCGAGAATCTTATCCCCTCATCTGAGAAATGCCTTTGTAGACCCTGTGCAGTCGTAACCTAATGAATCTAGATTGAATGAGATGTTGAAATCTGAGAACTCGGCCTTTTCGTGCAGATGGCTTTATGTTACTGAAGATGACATAAAAAATCTGCCATGTTTTCAGGTGAACACACTACTTGCTTTCGACGCATCTTAATTCTTTTCTTAGAGATTTGTGCAGATTAATCGTTCTCCATCTCTCTTCTAAATGTATGATTTTGTGTTGATTTTCGTTAGCTCCTCGGAACTAGTCTTTTTCTGCTGCTTTCTGCAAGTTCTGCTTTAGTTCAAAGTTACTGAATATGTTCGTAATCTGGGCGTCGGCAGAATGAAACGCTTATTGCTATTAAGGCTCCTCTTGGGACCACTTTGGAAGTGCCAGATCCAGATGAGGTATTCGTTTTCTTTAGTTAAGAAAATATCTATTTCTAACTGTTAATATTATTTCAAATCATGATTAATTACATCTGTTTGGGACCTGCTGATACCATGTTATTTATTTATTTATTTATATTTCACAGGCAGTGGAATACCCTCACAGGCGTTTTCAGATTTTGCTTCGCAGCACTATGGGACCCATTGATGTATACCTTGTCAGGTTAGTGCTGTTCTTGCCTTGGCGCATATTCCTTCCGATTGACCATCAGTAAAGTGAATTCAGAGTCAACAAAACTTTTTGCAAATGAAACTAATAAAGACGTTATCCATCAATTTGTGTTCTTTTGCCTGATGTAGCCGCTTTGAAGGAAAGTTTGAGGAGATGAACTCCTCTGAGATGTCTATAGAGGTTGGGCAGTCCGTTCCTCAGGCGGCTGGTGCATCTTCCCCTGCTGATGCTATGAGTCACGAAGAAATTGTATCAATGGTGCCAGATATAGGCTACGACTTGACAAATTTGGAGTCTCCAGGCAGTCATGAACCAGCATCCCAGAGCTCTGGCCCCACCAATTCTCATCCTGAGTTAGCGGGTGGGATCATGAGAACAGCGCCTGCAGAAGTCACTGTAAGTTGTTTGATGACATGTATACAAACGGCACTGCTTGATTAGGAAGGTGGTGTCATCTGTCTCATGTCCGAGTAATGTGCCTCAAGGTGTCAAGTATTCCCACTTCATTAATCAGTCGCAAATGCCAAAGATGTATGTCGCAAGTAGATAGCTGCTCGTATATCTCCTACTTTATTGCATGTTCGGTAATAGAAAACAATTCCTGAAGTCGTGACTATTTCTCTTAATTTTTTTAACTTCTATCGGTCTATCCTGGCTTAGGTGATTAGCTTTTATCTTTTAAAACTACTTCATAGAAACTATTGACCTTATCGTTGGACAATTTTGAGTTTGAATTTCAGACGGACACAGACTACTGGCTGCTATCGGACGCTGGTGTTGGCATCTCAGACATGTGGAGAACTGATCGTATCCTTGAACTTATTTTTTGTCGTTGCTAAGCTTGAGTTGTCTTGACCAAATGCCCATTGAATCTTGTCCTTTGTTTGTTTCGGTAAGCTATCTTAGTTTCTGCATTACCACGGTCTTTTTAACCTGAATATCTTAGTTGAGCATACATGTACACCTTGACCTATTTCTATAGAGTCGAATGGTATGTGGGATGACGTAATGAGACTCAATTCAGAATTTGGGATTGAGAACATCGGTTCTCCAAGACCTCACACTCCGCCATCTAGCAATGTCCTGGAAGTTGTTCCAGTTAGTTGAGCACGGACACCTGTCGAATCTACAAGGCTGGTTCTGGTCCTAAATTCATGTTCTGTGAGGCATGGTGTTGATGGGAGATCCAACTCTCTCCGCAAAGGTTCGATGATTATCTTGCTTGATAATACTTCAACAGCGTCCCACAAACATTTACACTCAGAAGGCCTCAAATATTTCGTGAGAAACAGTTGCTGCACTTGTGCTTAAAGTCTTCAATCCTCGGAAATGTGCCAAATTCGGGGCTTGTGCATGTTGGTTTCAGCTTTTTTAAGCTGAGAAAACAGTTTTCCAGCCGCTCAATTTATTGTGGCGTGATGCTAGAGGTATTGTTTCGGATCATCTTTCCTACCATCAGAATGAAGACATGGTCCTATTAGATGGAAAGATTGGCATTTGGCATGTATTTATCATTTGTATAAACTAAATGAGTCCATTCTGTGTAAGGTGCTTTCCTCACAGAGTACAGAGGTCCTGCCCGAAGAAAGTCATTTCTTCTTGATTCTTTGAGAAAATTCCGGCTGCTTTGGCTTTGAACTTGCCAGATTTAGGGCAGTTGGACGTAAATTTCCTGATTTTATCGTGCGTAGTGGAGGCATAATGTGTGAAAAAATCTTTTAGTGTAAACAATCTTGTTCATGCTCTGATACCTCCATTCCAAGGTCAAGGTTGAGGTAAGACAGCGCTAATGTGTAAATGTTGCCTATCGCTGTCATGGTCTACTTGAGTATTGGTTTTCTCGTTGGAAGTTTTTCTATGTAGCATTCTAGTATGCATTTATGTGTTTTAGAATCTGGAAGTAGAGAATTTGTTGGGTCATGAGTATCTCTTTGGAGACGAGGTCTGCTTATTGAAAACTTGCATTCTGCAGTGTATCCCTGTTGGTTGTAGTGTCAAGTCCGAAGCGTAAGACGACCCTGCTGTGCTGACAACGAAATTTGTACGTCTGTGTTTGCACTTTCTAATAAAATAGTGCTGTAAGAGAGTACCACATCAGTGTGGCGACAGGTTGAAGCGGTTCTCCAATGTTTTACATGTCCAGTTCCATCTCTATCTTTAGGTATTCTCCCCCATTGTTTTGCTCAGGAAATGTTGGGAGCGGCATATGATTGTGGCCGAAGTGTTGTAATGAATTTCAGTTAACCTGGAAGAAGCAGGTTTGAGGTATGTCATACAACACAAGATCCAACTTCAGAAACACTATGGTGTACTGTATTTTGGATATCAATGCATACACAGAAGAGTGGCAATCATTGTAATGATCAATTTGAGAAGTGAACCTAGGTGTCACAAATTCTAGCGAGCGCTGAGTTCACTTTGATTTAGCAACATTTGTCTTGGATGAATAACAGTATCATCTATGATAATGAACCATGTACTGTAATAGCACTAACCCGATTACTTTGTCCTAGAGCAATTAATACGATGAAGCTTTGCTTGTACTCGACTTCACACTACTCAATCAGAAACCTTGCATAACAAATTTCTGCAGCACCATCATTCTAAATTCGGGAGACATCCACTTAAGCTGCTATCGCAAGGTGCTGTGCCTCACCCAGTACAGAGTTCTTGGGTTCATGTAATGCTTATTTACATCAAAGTGCAGAAATGATTTGCTTTCATGACAGTGTAACTGTAGGTAGAATGACTGACTACTATACTACGTATTTACTGTGGGTAGAAACCGAACATTTAATTAATAGCACTTTCTTTTCAAAATATACACCAATGAACACGAAATTACGCTCGAGGTCAGGAAGGACCCTAGCAGAAATAACCCCAACTGTAATTTCAAGATTGAAAGTTGGCTTGAAAGTGTTAGCGATACGTCCTCTCAAATCTCACACTGTTTAACACAGGTGTGTTGAACCAATATGATCGGACAAGTGTGTAGGACCGTTAGAATGAGTAGTTATTTACAAGCTAAAACCCATGTCTGTTGGTATAAAAGGCTACCATCCTGCACCAACTCTTCTGCCGAAAAAGAAACACATTTCATGCTCATTGATCTTCTTGTACGGAGCTGTCCTTATTGTGAAGTGAATAACATCGTGCAACGTGCGTCACAGTCCACTATCCACTCCTTGAAGTGTGGGTGCTACCATCTGGAGATTTATCGGTTTCAAAAACTTTTGTGTAGAATGTGCCAGTCCTGTGCCCTTCTCTCCGCTCACAAACTTTATGATGAGAGTACAGTAAAGATGTGCTCTGCAACTTCCTTATTTTGATCTTACCTTCAAATTAATAATCTTCCTCCGCAGTGTAAGCTCACCTCGTTCATTAACTGCTTGTTCCCCACCTGTTGGTGAATCGATTGTCCAAATATCTCAAAAGACAGGTGTGCGGATTGATGACATAAGCTAACATGGGTGGCGCATAGGACATCAGGATTAATCTAGTATCCCCCCAGAATGTGAGATTGACTGCCATCGGCGTCCTGGGATCGCAGGAGCTCGTCTGCTGGGTGAGGCTGGTACATCGCATCAGCATCTTGTAACGAATCTTCATCAGCGCGGCTCCTCATTTCGTAAAGTGTGGGAGTCGCATAATATCCGAGTGCTTCTGCAACAGAAACTTAGAGAAATGGCCATGTGCTCTTGAAACAAGGGATACTGACATCAGATTCGGAACAACAAACACAATTGTCCGTTCACATTGGTTACAAGAATTTTCACCTAAATCATGACTCTTGTGTCCACGTGGATTTGTCAGTGTATTCAATTCCTCAGCTGCGATATCGTGCATGCCACAGCCAAGTCAGGAATTGGCAGACATGGACACCAAAGGCTTAAAAGGTGCAGATTCAACACTCATTACAGAGATAAACAAGTACTCACAAGGTATTATTTACTCTAACAACGTCTACAAACTTGAGGTCCTAGCAATGTATGGCATTTTTGAAAGCCAGCCGACCTGAAATCTGATCCAACAGTAAACCAAGAGGTAGTTTTGGTACAGCATTGGCAGCGTCCTGCGCCAGGAGTAAAGCGACGATCATCAAGAGAGACGTCACTTGCAGAAGATCCGACGCATGGACACCTCTTTTTCTCGCCTGTTGCATCATCGCTCGCCTTGTACTTCAAATTTGGATTTGTAGGGTTGTAGGTGAGAGTGGGGGATCCTAGATATGGTTGGTTCCGTGCACTGAATTCCTCTGCAACTGAGTCTTGTTACAGAACTGCACGGGAGAATCCGCAGACGATCATGGGAAAATCAATAAGGAGGCCATGGAAGCATTGAACGCCGAGCCGGCACCTAAATTTTGCGAACTGATTGCAGGAGTCTCCTTGGAGGGAGCACAAAATTTCTAAGTAAATGGACCTTGAGCCGGAAGAAGTTCTTCCAGTCCCGCACATTCAATTACGAATCCAAGGAGCTGAACTGTCGGTCGCCTAGGATTGCTACGAAATGAAACAGACCGAAATTCTGATGCTCGTCGTCGGCTGAATGGCACAAATAGTGTCGTCTCAGAATTGACCGAAAAAAAACTTCCTCGTGTGGTAATGAAAGTGGCCTAGAACATGGAACAACAGGCAGCGGAACAGGCACTTCCATACAGGTCTAAAGTAACGTCTGAGCCAGAAAATCTTTCAAGTTAGACTTTCCTCAATGTGCAGTCACGAATCTCTTGCCTAGGCGTCCAAATTACGGCGTGGGAAAAGGACCTCATGATGAAAACTCCTGTGATACGACTGTGCGACACCTGATACCGACGCAGCACCCACAATGTGCTGGTGGCCACAACTTAAGGGGATATACTTGAGATGTCCATCCTAATTTTCAAATACGCCACATAATCACACACACACACACTCACACATACACTCACACACTCTACACTGCAACCATAGAGATACAGTAGAGTTCAACACTGTCACGCTTCATACCCAAAATTCAAATGAGATAGCAAGGAGTGCAATTCTTACCCTATCGGAACCGCCCATCAGAAAACCAGACGCACATACTCCAAAGTCGAATCAACACTGACAGACTAGTGAATTCCAACTCGAATATTGTAACGAGTGTGATGCCAATTGCCCACGTTGCTTTTCCAAAAACAACACTGAGTTCAGAGGGATTTTTCTCGTTGAGCTCTTCTAGAAAACCTTGGGGAGGAGTTTTCCCATTGATGAGGCGCTTGATGCAAGAGGTGGTGGCTTGTCGGTAGGTTGATGCGGCACAGCCGGCGTGGAAACTGGATTTTAAAAATCCCCCTTCACACCAGAGATAGACTTGTCATGGGTTGAGGCGGTAGAGTTGGTTCCAATGGTTTCACTGTGTGGATCGAATTTAAGTGACAATGTGCTGTTCGAAAACTGATGAGGGGTTTTAATACTTAGAAGTTTATTTGAGAAGGTCATGGTGCAAAAGTGTTATGAGAGGTTCCTAATTTGGTGAAGAAAAACCCTTCTTCAAAAGCATTGGTATTTGGAGATAATATAAAGTGGAAAGAGGCCATAAAATGAATTAAATATTTTTTTATGTGTATTCTTTTATTATGATTTTGAATGTGTTAATTCATATCTTGATTCTAGTTTTATTCATTACTGTTATATTAAGTAAAATTTAAACACTTTTTTTTTTTTTTTTTTTTTTTTTTTGGAAAAACAACCTCTTAAGGATGACCTATCACAACACTATTTTGAAGAAAAACACTGTTCATACTAAGTAGGATTATTATTATTTTTTTCTTATAGATGTTTTGGACTGATTTTTTCTAGTTATAAAAATCAATTGAGTAAGGCTTTTTAATTTAACCGATCCAATTTTTTTTTAAGTTATGGTTTTTTTAGGTTTAAAAGAAATTATTTATATCTTATTCATGACTTAATAGTCTTTGCATTTTTTTACAACTTAAGTAGCTATAAAAATTCTATTTTATTTATGCTCTTCTAAAATTAACACCTTTGTCATGTTCTTGGATGGTACAGGAAGTTGAGTTTTTTAAAAAATGCTTGAAGGATGTGGTTACACCTAAAGTTAATAGCTTTTCTAAAAAAAGATTATCGAAAAATAAACCTTTCCCTCATTTCAAAAGTAAAGGGCAAGATTTTTTATTTTATTTTATTTTATTTTTTTTATCACAAAATGCGTTGGAATTTCATGCAACCACCAATTCAAATATCAATATATAATTGTTTTGGTAAATTCGTGCTGTACTATTGCATCGTATTGCTCTCAAACCTCTTCTTCAATGTAGCCATTGCTTGCAATTGCCATTGTAATATAATCAATATTTATCAAAAACATTCTCTATCATCACAACAATCATCATCCTCTAACCATACTGTTGGTGCAAAGAAATTTGTAATAAAAAAAATAGAAATTTAAGTGCGCATGACATAAAGATATAATAGAAAATGTACAAAAGATATAAATATCTTACACATCAGCGTACCCAATCATAACATTTGCAAATAATCACTCATGGCAAGAGTAAAAATAAAAAAAGAAAAAAATTGGAGACTGAAAACTTTGTGAGGTATTTACAATATAGTTCCATTTTTTAAGCTTAAAAGGCCTTCTCATCCGCTTCAACCATTCACTATAACTTCTGTTGTGCTTGATTCTTTATTGTAAAACTGGCTTAAGGTTGTTGAGTAAATTAAACCTAAAGGAATATTTACATTTGTGAATTGTGAGTAGTTTGGAAATTATTGCAAGCATAATTTGGCAGAGTTTGAACGTGATTTGAACATGGGTTTGATTGTTTGAACAGGATTTGGGACACAGAGAAGAATTTTATTCGGCTGCTGCGAGTAAAAACTTGGAGTAACAAAGCAGCTAGAGCTATTTTATTGTACAATCTCAAGCTTGTTGCCTGTACAAATATAAGCTGTGAAGCAGGTTCGAAGAGAAGGTTGATCTAAGTCTTGAAACCTCCATGTGCTGCTTGTATTATGTTCAAAAGAAACGTACAATTTTTTTTTTTTTGACATGACAACCGGTTCGGAACACAATTGTAGACGAGTTCCTGAATGCTCAAGCAATCCTCAAACACAATTAAGCTAGGATCCAATGCTTGGAAAGAAAAAGAAAATACCATGACCAGGATTTGTGCTTGTGTAATTATCGGAACTTCAGCGACCTCCGCGTTCCGTAATAGTCTATGAATTTACAAAAACAATACTATATCCTTCAATCTGCATGTGATAAAACTCAAGCACTACTATACCAAACTTCTAATACACTATTTAACTGCTACTTATCCACTAGCTTCTAAACTTAAATTCCTTTACGTGCTTCAGCTCTTCACATATCAATAAAAACATGAAGGATTCAGGAGCAGACACTGCTCGAAAAGAAGATCATTTCGTGTCCCGGATGTATGTACCAAGACCTCCTGCAATATCCAGCTTGTAATGTACACAAAGAAGGTAAATTACCATGTGAAAGTGTTATACGAAAACTTAATCTATCTTAATCTCTCCTTTATAAGAGAACATGCACATGCTACACTAATAAGCGACTACAGCAGTGTCTTATTTGCTCCCATTGTCTGTCTCAGGTTTGAGAAATTGGACTGGAACAACAGGTATGCTATACCACCATTCACCGATTCGCCGCATAAATCGACGCGAAGATGCAATCCTCACGGGCATTTCGCTTGAGAACACGTTTAGAAAGATAATTAGAATCAACCAGCGAGTTGGAAAGATAAGCACGACGACCGCCAACGCGAGGAGGATGGCTATGACATGATTCGTGGCCTGCATGAGGACAAATAACTCTATCAAGATTAATTCTGGAATAAAAGAGTCGCGTCTCAATGTGAATTAGCCCACAATGATCTCAAAGTCCTGCGATAATCGAAATCAGACGAGCAGAGGAAAAATATCAATAATAGACACCTCAGGACGGGCTGATAAAATCAAAGCACGTGTCTTGAGCAGAAATATGTTGCCACTCTGAATTAATGCCTCCAACTCTGTCAATGCTTGTTGCAAGGCTAGCAGCTGCTCAACCGTGTTCTGATTGGGAGGCGACGATATTAAAATTTCTTTGATTGGTGCTCCATCACGCATTCTCCGCACATACGCCATGTAGGCAGCCATCATCACTAGCGATAGAGGCAACACGTAGGGTAGCCCACTAGGGAAAAAAAAAAAAAAAAAAAAAAAAAAAATACAACACAACACAACACAACACAACAGAAAGATTGTAAGTAATAGCTCCGAACCACAAGCGCGCAGAAAAATACAACATGCCGTCATCTTGTATCGTATCATCACCCTTAACAACAGTGTCCTTAGAATTGGCAGGTTTTAACAATATAATAAAGGTTGTGAAAGGTAGTTGCACTTGGAACCCACTTGAATATAATGCAGCAGCCAATAACACAAAATGTGAGCGACTTTAAAGGCCCCTCCCAGATAAATACACTATGAAGCCAGGTAATAACTGCTATCAGAGGAAGCACCAGCTCCTACAACCAAATGACCGAGATACGTTAGTCTCCATACTTGTCTTCAATGGAAGTTCTCATCACGACAAAGTAATTAAGATACAAGCAGCTAACCATTGCCGAGACAGGAGTACCTTCATAACAGCAGCATTTGTACCAATGCCCTCAACCTTTTCTTCCTTTATGGTAGCCTGCACTAAGAGCACTTTCTTCGAATTATCTCGTGATTGTTGGATTGCTTTCTCCAAAGGAGAAGTTTCACCAATGAGAATCTCTCCAACGGGCACAGGTGATTCCTGTGTCTTTTCAGACCCTTTAGGAGTTGACGAACAGAAGCTATTTACAACAGTTGCAGCCGAGATGGCATAGATCTTGTCACCCTGGTGTTTATCCTGAACACTTTCTTCACCCGCTTGTACTTCTCCACGATCCGTGCCACGAAGAGAACAGGCCAGTTCTGCCAATACTAAATCCCCACTCGGCATCTCTGATCCTAATGAACAGGTGAGCAAATTTTCAGGTTTTGGTGATAGAACATGAAACGTTTCTTTTGTAGCTCTTAACCAAGCAATCCCCTATACCGCCCTCGCTAAAGTTTCCGCTTTGCCTACACCCTCCAGTTGATAAGTCCGGATGAATTGGTGAATTGACACTACTTCCCGAATAATTGCCAACCAATAGTCACGCCGTGAACGCCCTTTCAGCTCCGGAAACTCTAACACAACTGGATCCACCCTGTGCCCGAACAACCAACAGATGATGAAATCAGTGTATTTAAAATGCTCGGAAAAGAGGTGCCTCTATGCCTTACGATATCTGTATTGAAGCTTTATCTGTTCCCTCTGAGGTGAATCTAATTCATGGTATGAAGCAAACTTGGTACAGTGATGGTCTACACCATTGAATAATACAACATGCAGGCCAACTTTGATGCTTAACTTACGTGACGCTTGATTTATACATAACAGCCTTATCAAAAAGGCGGGCACCTCATGGTCCGATCAAATCTGGCTTCACCATGTGCATTAAATCTGCCGAAAGGTCAAATTTCTTGGGTTTGTCATAAGACACAACCCCAGTGGCTTCAAAGTAGAATGCATGATCCGTTAGGGTCAATCGTCCTGCAGAGAGGTAAGGAGCCAAAATCGCAAAAATCAGCACACTGAAGGGGGAGAAAAACCTTGAAATGGTACTCGTAATAGTATGAACCATTTTCGCGTGATAGTGAAAAAGAGCTCAAATAACGAGCAAGACCGGTTAGTATCGCCGTTAACTGTACCAGGCCAAGTAGATACACCAACATGCTGGGGGACAGGCTGAGTTGTGGCAGTCCCATTTATATCAATCAGTGTCTCATTCTTTACCAATTGCAAGGCCTTGAGTAGCGCCGGAGTTGCTTGGTTCTTTATAGCCCTGATCGATCTGAGCAATAAATTTTCAAATACAATGATGAGTTAAATCCTCGTCTTTAACTCTCTTCTTTGGCTCTGGTCTTTAAATATGTAAAGAGGAAAACAATTTCCGCACGAATATTGGAATATAGCTTAGATTCTGTTGTGAAGAAAATCAATCAATCGTTTCCACTAGGATCTGGCATATCCCCACATTTACATACAAGCCATTTTTGTGCTTTAATTGCACAGATTCCAAACAAAGAAGTTCAAATAAGCAGTATTATACATCCAGAAATTAAGTAGAGATTTAACCAAAAGAAAACTAAATGCAATAATGAAACCCAAAGGTAAAACAGGCTGGAAGAGGAATAAATGGGAAAGGGAAGACGGCCTCCTCTGCTCGCAATAAGAGATTCAAACTGGCTGTGCAATCCATTGCGTCTGCAATGGTGGGAATAGCAGGTGCAATTCTTACAAACGCATCAGGCCCAACAGTACTCTCCACATCCACCTGCATGTACCATGACATTATTGGATAATATGCTTAGAACCAGTACGTCTACAAATAGCTAATTTAGGGTTAGCGGAAGCCTATTGTACTATATTTTCTCCTAAAAGGCTAATGGTAATAGACTTGATGCGGGTCTGGAAGAACATTTGGACCATCAGGGGCATCAGATCAGAATAGAATAGTGCCGAATTTTCCTCATCCTCCCGTTCCAGAGTCCCTCGTCGATGACTCAGGTTCTCTCAGTCATGCAGCCGAAACACAAAGGGGTAGGGATAGGTTTAATTCTGCCACAAAATGATAGCATCATGATTAAGGACTCTAAAATGGTTCCGAACGACTTGCTTTCATGAAATCTATGTGTGAAGTGTGAATTCCCTTCTAGCAGTAGAAATCCACTAACACTGCATCAATAATACCGTATATTACATTGCAACACTTACACTGCATCAATAAGTCTAATGAACTTTTTGCATCAATAAGTCTTAAGAACTTTTTGCAATGTAATATACGGTGTTATTGATGCAAAACAGTAGAATACAGGTTGTGACGAACCAAGTAACATGTCTTACAACCAATACCTTGAAAAAGAAAAACCACGATATTTCCAAGTGCAGACAACTCTTTTATCCATTTTCGAGTGTCTGACGGTGTGTGCTCAAGCTCCTGTGGCTTCTCAGCAACGCCAAATTTTCCACCAAATATGTCCATTAAAGTGGTGTCTCCCGTGATCAAGGAATCTAGCATGCTTTTGGTCAACACTGCCATCGCTACCTAACAATGGAATTTTTAATCAGTTAGTTCTGAGCAGATGATCCCATAACACCTCACATTAGAAAGGCTTCAACCTTACGAAACAATACACACAAGATGAACAGATAAACAAGTTGACAAAACGAAGATGCTTAGCACCTATTGCTTTGAGTATCTCACAGTCTAAGCTCCTAGATCCTGAAATCAAACACTGCTGCGTAGAGAAAATATAGTCTGCAACTCAAGCATTAAAAAACGCAGTACTGCTCACTGATGACAACTGATTCAAATGTGCTGACAAACAAGTTGAACGTAGTCACTGAACCTAGTGGACCATCAAACTATAACATTGGTTAGTAAGACAATGCGGGTTGCTAGCGATTAAACTAAAGGAATGTTCTTTGTGTTTGATTACACCTTCTTGATGTTGTATAATGTATATTCTTGCTTGAAAATGTTCTAGGCACTTAGCTTTGGAAGGTAAGTAAAAATGCAACAAATTCCTACCAAGTCTAATAAAGTCTTAAATGAATTTTAAATAATCCTTAACAATCCTAATCAAAATTTAACCAATTCAAAAGGAATTTAAAAGAAGTTACAAAAGAAACATAAAAAATAATAAAATAATTTTAAAAATAATAATAATAAATAAATCCTAAAGAAATATAAAAATAAAATCTTAAAGAAATAATAATAACTTTAAATAATATTAGAAATTTAAAAAATTAAAATAATAGGAAATATTTTTAAAATACTAAAAACAAAATTTTCAAATAAATCCTAAGTAAATCCTAATCAAATCCTAATTAAATCTTAATCAAATTTTAAATCTTAGACCAATTCTAATAAAATTTAAATAAATCATAATCAAATCTTAGATCAAATTTTAATGAAATCCTAATCAAATCTTAATCAAATTTTAAATCAAATCTAATTAAATCCTAAATTCTAACCAAATCCTAATCTAATCTTAATCTTAAGCAAATCCTAACCAAATCCTAACCAAATCCTAATCTAATCCAACCTTGATGCTGATATTCTATAGTCAAAATCTCTTAATATCACTATTCAATATGTCTCAAATTTTGCATAATTGATACAAGTTAAATTTATTACCTATGCACAAAATTATATTTCAATCTAACTAAGAGATTGAGGGATATCTTAGAAACTCTTATTGGTCATCTAAATCCCAATTTCTGAGACGTCAATATGTTTGAATTTCAATAAACTTTTAACATATCCCTAAATCAAGCTTAAATCTGAAATACAAATTATGCACAATAACAACCACTTAATTATAAAATTTCACTTCTAGATGATTTATAAATCTCACATAAATGTCCAAATTATCAATTCTTTAAATTTTTAAAATTTAAAATTAATCCAAACTTTGTAAAGTCTTTACAAAATGTCATAGACATACATATTTATTCTAATATTTATTTATATGATTTAATAGAAGTAAGTAAAAATAAATTTATTTCGTAATATTTTTTAGAAAAGCTTCTTAAAAGCTACATAGATACTACTTTGACTTTATATATATTTGTAGTTGATGGATAGGTTAGAAATTTCGTCAACAAGTTAACTACATGTTGATAGCTTGCACAACAAGCTAATTATGTGGCACACATATAAAAAACTTGCCTTACAAGTTAAGATACATGTCATGCAAAGTCAACACGTTTTAAAGGTCTTATAAGATATCGCCACATAGCTCATAGTTAAGAGTATATATGGAAGCAATAGTGAAGCCTTCTTCACTCTTGTCAAATCCTTTCATGCTTCTAGTCTAGTTTCAAGAGTCTCTAATTTTTTTTATCTTTTGGCAATAGTCATTCTATTTTTTTTTAACATATATACTTTTCTATTTTTATTTTGTCATATTTTTTTGAAAAAGTCTCACTTATTTATTGTCATGGACATACACATGTAAGCCAAAAATTACATGTATAAATAAGTAAAAGTAAGTAATAGTAGATAAAAATAAGTTAATTCTATAGTATTTACTATGAAAGCTTTCTAGAAGCTTCATAGAGGCTACTTTGATTTTATAGGTCTCTTTAATTGACTTTTTGGATTAGAAACGTGGTCAATAAGTTGGCCATGTGCCATACATATTGTTAGCTTGAAGACCAAGCTAACTATGTGGCCCACACATAGAAAAACTTGCCTTGTAAGTCATGGCAAGTGTCTTACAAAGTCAACACATATTGGAGGTCTTATAGAATGTCGCCATGTAGCTCCTAGTTAGATAGTATATGTAGAGACAAGAATGAAGCTTTCTTCACTCTTGTCAACTCGTTTCTTGCTTCAAGTCTAGTTTCAAGGGTCTCTAGTTTTCTTGGCTTTTTGACAATAGCCATTCCAATTTCTTTCTTAATATATATATTAAATTATTTCTATTTTATCATCTTTCTTTGAGAGAAGTCTCATTCGTTTATTTGACTTTATCGTGTTCTAGTCCTTAACAGATTGACAAGAGTACACTTACAATATCAGAGCTTTGTCTAACCTTGATTAAGAGTGGATTACCTCTTTTTCTTGATAAGACATAAGCATATTAGAAGTTGTGGATTATCCTCTTCTAAACTGATATTGTCCTTAGTATTTTCTTTGTTCTTAAGTCCTCTCTTCTATTTGTCTTGAGCAATATTAGACTTCTTCTCTTTTCTAAGTGTTATCATGGCAGAACTTGCTGAAATGAAGAGTGCAATGGCACAAATTATCAAGGACAAGAACTCAATGAAAAAAACAATTTAGACAAGTGAGCCTTCACTCAAAGAGAGGTAACAAAATATATATAAATAAGTATATATATTGAAAGAGGAACTGGAATGGCTATTGCCAAAAGACAAGAAAACTAGAGACCCTTGAAACTAGACTAGAAGCAAAAAAGGAGTTGACAAGAGTGAAGAAGCCTTCACTCTTGTCTCTATATATACTATCTAACTAAGAGCTACATGGCGACGTTCTATAGGACCTCCAATATGTGTTGACTTTATAGGGCACATGCCTTGACTTATAAGGCAAGTTTTTCTATGTGTGGGCCACATAGTTAGCTTGATCTTTAAGCTAACAACATGTGTGGCACATGGCCAACTTGTTGACCACGTTTCTAATCCAAAAAGTCAATTAAAGACACCTATGAAGTCAAAGCAACGTCTAAGAAGTTTCTAGGAAGCTTCCATATTAAATATTATAGAATTAACTTACTTTTACCTACTTTTACTTACTTCTACCTATTTCTATATGTAATTATTAGCTTACATGATTATGGCCGTGACATTACCCCCCCTTCTAGGGACGAGTTCCACGAGGAGTGGTCATCATATGTTGAGAAAATCTATGATGCGACGAATTGTAATCGCCACATACTCTGATCTCTGTCTCTTTGAGATGATTGATTGTCACGGCCATAATCATGTAAGCTAATAATTACATATAGAAATAGGTAGAAGTAAGTAAAAGTAGATAAAAGTAAGTTAATTCTATAATAATTAATATGGAAGCTTCCTAGAAACTTCCTAGATGCTACTTTGACTTCATAGGTGTCTTTAATTGACTTTTTGGATTAGAAACGTGGTCAACAAGTTGGCCATGTGCCACACATGTTGTTAGCTTGAAGATCAAGCTAACTATGTGGCCCACACGTAGAAAAACTTGCCTTGTAAGTCAAGGCATGTGTCCTACAAAGTCAACACATATTGGAGGTCCTATAGAACGTCGCCACGTAGCCCCTAGTTAGATAGTATATATAGAGACAAGAGTGAAGGCTTCTTCACTCTTGTCAACTCCTTTCTTGCTTCTAGTCCAGGTTCAAGAGTCTTTAGTTTCTTGTCTTGCGGCAATAGCCATTCCAGTTTTCTTTTAATATACCTACTTGTTTATATTTTGACTTATTATATCGAGATAGCCTTTTGTGTGTATATTTTCCCTCATCGAGTCTTTATCCTTGACATTGATAGGGCCTCTTAACCATCGGTAGTGTCCCATACCTGGGCGGGAAGACCACCCAGTTATTTGATCATTGTTGAGGCCTTCGTAACTTCCTTTGAATAGAATATTTGGAACACCATCAAAAGTTGTTCCTACCTCTAGCAAAATCACCAAACATCGGGAGTCCCTTCCCAAATTGTGATACCAAACGCGTTGTATCTCACCATCTATTCGAGGAAGAACATGTTGTTCTTGAAGATCTTCATCTCGATTCGGTCGTCTTGAAGGTTGTGACAATCGTAATGTCTCGTCCGACAGGTCAACAAATGAAGGCTCTTGAGTTGAATCCGCTGGTTGTTGGTTCTCCATCTCCTGAGCGCCACTACTACAATGAAGCTTCAAATAAGAATTGAAAGTAGAATGTTATCTTGCCTAGATGTTGTTTCTTTTATAAAGAAGGTTTTCATCTTGATTTTGATAAATGTCGTCGATGAAAAGCCTCCACTGCCTTTGCTGCATTTGCAAGATTCTTTAATGGCTCCCATGTGCATTCACTAATACCATATCCGTGCCAATGGACAAGATATTC